GCTTAATGTGGCGTAACACTGACTCATTAGGCTAAAATAAAATGGAAACGTTTCTCGGGCACTGGTGTCTCTGTAAATCCTGAGTGTCCGTCATTTTTATTGCAACTAATACAATAGTTTTTAAATTTCCTGCATCTAATAAAGCATACCCTGTTATCCATATAATGATATGCCTGACAACTGGAAATGTATTACAGAGCAAAGTGAAGTCTGTGACCGGATGTGTTTGGAATTCTTGGCATCAGTTTTGTTTTCAATTAAAAAATACAAGAGTCATACTCCCCTCCTAACTTCTTAAAACAATGTTCACTAAACAATTGTGTATGCAGCCTTATGTTGGATATTTCTGCTTTAATGGCCAGCCAATAAAATACTCTATTTTATTATTTGGTAGGTTATAAATTTATAAAAGTAAACCGACTTGAATGTACTACCATTTGTCCAATCTGGGCCAAGCCCTCTGCAGCTCCAGATATGCAGACAAGGACTGGTGCCATGGCAACACCTGCTAGGAATGGCACAGTGGTTGCAAAATCTGGTGCCCCCCAAAATGACTTGGAAAAGTGCTTTTGTCACAGAGCTTAAAAACAACAATAATATGAGAGGGAGATGCAAGTCTAGGGCCGACTGGTTCATGAGAAACAAGAAACTAATTTCAACAAACCTTACTTGGATCAACCATTATTTCTGTTCTATGGATAATATATTTAAAAAGTGTATTCTCATGGAAATGGAAATATGGCATATTTCGAGTGAAATCAGAGCAGTGCTCCAGATAAGGGCCTTATTGGTGTATGTACAGCTAAACCAATAAAAATCAGGAATGCAATTAAATTCGAAAGCATACTAATACAGTCATGAAAAAGTAAATATGTCCTACTTTTTACCTTAGGTCGTCTCTTTCACTATTAGAAAATGATATCGGTCTCCAATTATACATCCACAATTGTATTAGATATAGATAAAAATCAACATGTGTGGGGATTTCCTCACTACGTCATACAGGAATTCCGAATGCTAGGCCAATCGTTAAGCAGTTATTGTATTTTCTTATATGTGATTGGCTACTATTCATCGACGATAACTCTCGCCACATATTGTGGCACAGCTATTTAATCTTAACCTTTTATGACGATAAATGTCATTCATATCTGGTGTTGTCTACCATACCAGAGATGGTGGTTGTGGGGTTTATCCAATGAACTGTTGAGGCAGGAGTCACACTGGTGGAATCAAACTTAAAGACCGCACAGACAAATCATGCAGCAGGTAAACCCATGTAAGAGCGTTGTTAGCTTTACAAAGCGTTATCTACTCCTCAAAATGTCAGAGTCAAAAGCAAAGTTACAGCTACATTGATATCTGCATACTTGTTCAAAATAAACCTGTCAGTCAAAATGACACTATTTCTTTCATCACCAGCAAACCAACATGTTCAACACAGTCATTTATTGACTGGTTGAGAATTCTCCACCGTAAACATGGATTGCAAGACGAACATCTTTCCATCAGCAAAACCAATGGATAAACTATCAACATCAACATACTCTAAAACTCTGAATCATAAAGTGTGTTGGCAGATTGTCCCAGAAAAGCCTCCTTTACAACACATGTATTCACGACTATCTTGGTGTATGGGAGGTAATCCCAGCAATGCCAATTACAATCCCTCGCAATGCAGTAAGAGTTATGTCCCTTTCAAACTGTTAGAAAAACATAGGATTAAAATGTTTTTAAAATCAAAATCATCGTACGCTTTTGGCATGTGATATCTGTAAAATACCAATTTTACCAAAATCAGAATTGCATATAGGTTGGCAGCCTCACTCAAAAGCTGACAAAACAAAACAGTATTTTTCTTGGAAATAAATATACTAATGGCTCAAAAATGGTTGTGGTCATTTTATTTGATGGCAAGAGTATTCTACAGATGCTTTTTGCCTGATGAACTTTATCACCAATTCTCTATTTAGATATGCTGATAGGAGTTCATGACATTAATAATAAATGATGTTTGTTTGTTTGTTGTTTGTTGTTTAACGCCGCACTTAGCAATATTCCAGCTATATGACGGCAGTCTGTAAATAATCGAGTCTGGACCAGACAATCCAGTGATTGATATCATGAACATCGATTGAGTCTCATCATAATCAAGTCTGGACCAGACAATCCAGTGATTGATATCATGAACATCGATTGAGGCGCATCATAATCGAGTCTGGACCAGACAATCCAGTGATTGATACCATGAACATTGATCCACGCAATTGGGATCGATGACATGCATCAACCATGTCAGCGACCCTGACAACCTGAACCCATTAGTCGCCTGTTACGACAAGCATAGTCGCCTTTTACGGCAAGCATGGGTTGCTGAAGACCTATTCTAACCCAGATCTTCACAGTGAATAATAAATGATGACATTTATGACAATCTAAATTTATTCACTGCATACACAATCTAAACTCATTTTTTGCAAAATAAAATTCCAATTTATTGATTCTACAATACTTATGGTCAACTTTTGTCCTGAAGGAATGGGCCACTGTTCAACACTATGTTATATGAAGGCTTTCATTATAGGCTGTGCATGGTATTCATTTCAAACTAATATCATCAACCTGTTTAAACACTGAGAAAACATGGCCATTGATTCCACCACAATTCCTGCATAGACTAGTATCAATGAAATCCACTGTTCCACAAAACTACACATCAAAAAATGAACTTAAAGGGGCACTGATCTAACGGACTGGTTGTTGCCTTTGTTATTGTTTTTCCCCCGTGAGTACCCGGATGATACGCAACGCAACTGAGCGTGACCAGAGACTGGGGTACCGTCTGCAAGGACAGCTAAATAAACTTGGAGGCTGGAGGCAATATTTGTTTTACGCATTTTTGAACACTGATTGGTTAACTGTGATCTATAAAGATTTCGACAAAGGGCGCATGTTAATTCATTTCTTCAGCCTAAACAAACAGAGCTCATCGGATGTCGACATTTGGAAATACCCCAGATGGTTATAGTTTAATACTAAAAACAGTATCCATGCAGTGAAAGCATTTTCGGATTTCGGCTTGCGTCGATAATACGATTACTACTCCCTTGTTGTCATCCACGTTTTCTCGTATAACCCTACACTTGTGTATTTGTCGTCATTCACTTGATGCTCAATTAATGAATTTATTACAGGTACAGTTAGTGGTAGCACCACTTATATTACCTGACAAAGGTTCCCATTTGGCATTTATTGTGTCTGGGGTAATTATTCAATCTAAATCCAGGTTTGAAGTGAGGTGAAATGTGTGTTATGTAATATGCACGTGGCAGCCCAGCAAGAGATGAATGATCAGTTGATTTACTTTTTTTTGTAAATCAACGGATCGTTCCTAGTCATCAAAGGATTAACAGAAAATACGTTAATTGATTAATCACTGTTATCTTGCACAGTGGATATGTCAAGAGTGAGTGTTTACATGTTTAGGTTTACTAAAACAAAGGGAATACACTCATATCATGGCGCGAAGTGCCGATGTAAAAACAACATACTTTGTTCAAAGGGTTAACTGATAATACGTTGATTGATTGATCATTGTTATCTATCACTCAATGGAATTTATAGGAACCGTGGACGCTATGAAAATAGTTGTCACGTGGGCTTTCTCAGCCGACCATTGAGACTTGACACCTATGTAAAACACCTGAAACAATCCAAGCGATCAGTTGAGAAACGACACGGGTTATAATATCCCGAAACGATATATATCTTTAAAAATATTTGATTGTTACTGAGACACGTGACATCGAATAAGTTTCTTTGTACAGCTGCAGACGAGTGGGATATTGTTCCTTTGTGTGGATATTCACGGATACATTCCTCGAACAAGGAAGCTGCCTAAAACTTATACACATAAATTTGGTAGGTTGTAATTATGATATCTGCATTTTGTTTTCCTTCATTTGAACCGATTCGTTCTTGTTTCTCTACGTCTTGGTTGGGAAATTCTTCAATGCGCGATAGACGTTGTTGTCACAGGTCTTTTCCTTTGTAAGCGTGTATATATTACCGTCAATTATTAAAATGTGATTCTCTCAGGCAATTTATAAAATGTGTAAATATTTCAGTCATTTTGACTAAAAAATCTGTCCAGATTGATCAAGACGATCAAAAAGGCCTACAAACAACACAACAGATTATTATGTTGGATTAGAAGCCAAACAACTTAGAAATGTACTTTTCAACGTTACATTTTCAGTCTCTTGGTGATGACATTAAACATCAAAATGTTTGGAATTCGTTGTCATAATAATACAGATGGAAATGTTTTTCAGTCACTTTGTAAAATAACTGAATATTAGACGTTTAATAAATTTGTTACACATTTGACAGTAAAAAAATATGCACACTATAAAAAAAGCATATGCTCAGGTGAAATATATACTTTGTGTTGCAAGTCAAAATAGTGTAAACGAAAATCGCAAAATAACCAAGCAAGTGACTTATCAAAACTTCGTCACCATTACCGATGCTACTCACAAAGATACCTACATTTCCTTATTATCTCGAAAACTGTATTTCATTTTGTTGATCAATGTGACCATACGCCCTTATTACTACCCATAAAAGTGACTAATGCGCTTACGAATGGCGCAGCAGAGGTCGCGAACTAGTCTAGATTTCTGCTATACATCCGGGTATTCACTGGGGAAAAACAATAACAAAGGCAACAACCAGTCCTGGGGAATTGCGTTAGATCAGTGCCCCTTTAACAGTATGAATAGTGCAAGCCTGTTTCACAACAGGAAAACAAAAAAAGTGAAGTGATTCCGACCAAACAACTGACCTTAATCATTTGTTAAATACATTAATATTTTTTATCTTTTGATCTTTGTGGGATTTCATTTTGAAATATTGTAATAAACAACATCATGAAGTCTCAAAGGTGATTTTGTAAGTTCTGTAGTCGGAGCCGCATGCGCCCAATGGTGAACACTGACCTGCCCAGAGCTTGTGGTAAACTTGAGATGATGGGACCGTAGCCTGCTGCGTTGTCATACAACTCAAACAATGGTGCTGCGACAAGCTTGTAGTTCCTAGGTACTGCGAATAAAGCTGACAACAAAACCGACATCAGATAACAGTCACCAGAAATAAGACATAAGACACTAGACAGGGCAGTCAATAGCTATCTTAGTGTCGGCAGCCAAGGTGTCGGTGGACAAGAACACTTGTTTGTTGTTTATGTTGTTTGTAATTTTACCCCGAGGTCAGCAATATTCCAGCAAAATAACAGTGTCATAGTGTCTGGACAGACAAACCAGTGGCTGATAGAGTGAGCAACAATCCACACCATCTGCAGCTCTGTCTGTTTGGAAAGTGAGTGAACACAGTTTTAGAACCGGTCAGCAATATTACAGCAATATTACAGCAGCCTAAAGAGCCTGAGCCATGCAAACCAGTGTTATATTGCATAAGAATGTGTGATGAATTAATGTGTGAAGTACTAAGAATGTGTGAAGTACTAAGAATGTGGGAAGAGATAAGAATGTGGGAAGTTATAAGAATGTGTGAAGTTATAAGAATGTGTGAAGTACTATGAATGTGAGAAGTTATAAGAGTGTGTGAAGTTATAAGAATGTGTGAAGTTATAAGATGTGTGAAGAACTAAGATGTGACCATACAAGAATGTGTGAAGTACTAAGGATGTGTGAAGTACTAAGAATGTGTAAAGTACTAAGAATGTGGGAAGAGATAAGAATGTGTGAAGTTATAAGAATGTGAATGTGTGAAGTTATAAGAATGTGTGAAGTACTAAGAATGTGTGAAGTACTAAGAATGGGTGAAGTTCTAAGAATGGGTGATGTATTAAGAATGTGTGAAGTATTAAGGTGTGACCACATATAAGAATGTGGCAATATGTCAGTCTGTCACAGGAGCTTGCTGCTGTGTTTAAGCCCTGTGGGCAGCCATGCTGATTAAGTAACAAATCAAAACATGCAAATGAAAATATATTAAAAAAAACAAGCAAAATGAAAATTTAAGTAAAAGGAACATTCCAGAACACTAAATAACAACAGACACTGAGACTAATGACGAACTCCTTTGATCACATTTATATGTGAACTGGCCCCTTTATGCTAGTCCAACTTGTGGAAAGTTATACATGTTGTAAGTGAATGTAGTTTTATCACAAAAATCCTCTCTTTTGTGCATCTTCCTGTTTACATATTCCTGTATTCAGTTTTTATCAACTGTCGGTTCAACTTTCTCTTATTCCTTATGGAACGCCGCAGTGGTCTAGTGGTAGAGCGTCCGCCCGGAGAGCAGAAGGTCCGGGGTTCAATCCCCAGAAGCTTCATACCAAAAGACGTTAAAAGATGGTACTTCTTGTTACCCTGTCTGGCGATCAGCATTAAGGGGCTGAAACAAGGACTGGTCGGCTCGGAGTCAGTATACTGTGTCTGAGTGGGGAATTCATGTTAAACTGCGACATGGTGTCTCTATTGGCTAGCACTATAACATCAGCATCAATCCGGACTAGTACAAGCAGTCACACACACACATGTACATGCACGTCGCTATATAAGTGCTATAATCTTGGATGCGACGTTAAATCCCCATTTCATCTCACCTCACATTCCTTATGTCTCCATGGTAACAGGCCAAGAAGAACATTTCGCTGATGTAAGACAGCAAAAGAGTGTGACCGAACCTAGTAGTTTTAAATTATCCTTCAGGTATCCATGGTAACAGATCCAAGAATAGCAGTGGATTCTCAATAATCTCACCAATACAAGAAAGAGGTTTTACAAGTCCATGATATATTTCCTTTTTCTTCACGTAACCATAATAATAGGCAAAGAATTACATGCTGATTTTCAATCAACTGGCCAGTAAAGGAAGCAGTGTCGTGTCTCTGTGTGGTTGTCAGCAATGTCTGAGTAGCCATGGTATGGTAACTGCCAAAAATGACATGCTGCGTTTTCAATCATCTTGCCAATACTATCCAAGGTTGTCATGTCTTGGTGTAGTTGTCCTCTATCCTGGACATATCCATGGTATAAGGCCAAAAATGACATCCTGAGATTCAGGCAGCTCACCAATAGAAGGAAAGGGTGAGTTGAGTGTGAGTTATTCCGTCTAAGGAGGGTGTAAAACCTATGGTACATACCTTGGGCTGGCAGTTGCACCAAGCATAAGCTTTTGTGTTCTTTGGGTCTGGTTATATGAGGTGGCACAAAGGGATACTGCGAGATAAGAAAGCAAACTAAAGTCAAGCAACATGTGAAAGAAGAAACGACACCTGTCTTACCTTTCTCCGGTAATTGTACCAAGAATAACCATTTGCGTTCTTTTGGCTTAGTAACATGTGCGGGCACATACGGGTACTGTTAATGAACAAAGGTGTCAAGGCATTGGAAAAAACAAACAATGACATACTTCCATTACTTAAAAATGCATCAGTTTTGACAACTCTTACAATTTCTCAAAATATACCTAAGTCATACAATTCAACAATAATACTGGAATGAAACAAGGGAGGGTAAGATATATGGATGAACGACTTCTTTATTAAAATTAGGAGCGACGTTTCGTCGTAGGTTCTAACACCGTAATCAAGCAGGTGATGTTCACAGGTATATGTACGGGTAGGAGGCAGTGTTTATAGAGTTGAGTAGATTGGAGTGGAGTGGAGAAGCCTGTTTTATACACAAAGGGTAAACATATTAGTGAGTGAGAGAGTATGGTTTTACGTCGCTTTTAGAAATACTCCATCAATATCACAGCAGGGGACACCAGAAGAAATCGACTACACGTATTGTACCCATGTTGGGATTCGAACCCAGGTCTTCGGCGTGATGAGCGAACGCTTTAACCACTAGGCTACCCACCCGCCCTGGTGAACATCTTAGCCGGTGAAGCCAGGAGTTTAAACAAGAGGATTATGACTGATTGGGGTCTTTGATGAGTTGATGGTATGCAGCAGGTATGTACTAGAATTGATCATGGTTGATTGATGGTTAGTCTTTTGATGTTGATGGCTTCTTGTAGTTTATTGACTGAAATGAAATGTAGTACACTGCTCCTGATGGTTCTAGTTTGTGGCTGGATTGTGGTTTCCCTGTGGCTTTAATTGTGTTCTGAATGGTATGACGTCTCTTGAAAACTACATCAATGTTGGCCTGTTTCTTTAAGAGTCTCTGGATCTTGTGGCTAACTGTTCCAAAGTGGGGGAGGCTGATCACAAAGGGTGCAGATTGTTGACTGGGAGATTTCTGGGTTTTCTTGGCAATGTTCTGTATTGTCTGTTGTACCAGCTGTTCGGGGTAGTGGTGATCGAGCATGATGATCAAGGCTATCACTAACCCGCTGCGTACCATCAACTCATCAAAGACCCCAATCAGTCATAATCCTCTTGTTTATACTACTGGCATCACCGATTAAGATGTTCACCCTTGTGTGTACATAACAGGCTTCTCCACTCCAGTGTAACTACATCCTAATCTACTCAACTCTTTAAACACTGCCTCCTACCTTGTTATGCTTGTCAACCACACTCTGTGCTTGATAACGATGTTAGAACCTATACCGAAACGTTGCTCCTAATTGTAATAAAGAAGTTGCTCATCCATATATCTTATCCTTACTTAGCACCCCAACTTCTAATTGACTCTCAAAGAGGTTATGTTATAAAACAGTAACCTAAAGTTGGAATTCTGCTTCATAAATGCAGTGTGCAAAATGACTGCCTCTCTCCTTGCCTAATGCTCAGGCTTTTACTTTAGGGACTTGGTTTTTCAGATATTTGTAACAAAGAATGTTATTGCCAGTGATGGAAGTGAAATGTTAAAGAGTTACTTCCCTTTACCTACTGGCTTTCGTTGAAATTACTAAAATTAGTTAACAGGCCTGGCCGATAGATAAAAGAATCGTTCCCACTCTTTTATTTATTTGCTTCCACAGTTGTGTAATTTGGGCTTATATTGGTAAAGCAAGTAATAAAAATCACATCTCACTGCATCACAAACTGGCTTGTTGAAATTTAGCGAATCTGAGCAAGTCTAAATAAATCCCTGACAATACATCTGTGTTTAAGATTCCACTGACTACCCCACATGAGAAATTCAGCCTGTACAGTAGGCCAGTCAAAGCCCCCTCACTGACCCTACTTGTGTGTACACGTAGTTTGTACAAGTTTTGTCCAGCTGTCCTACAGACTTGTGTTAGGAGACTTTGAAACTATTTCACACACTGCATAAATCCGTGCTTGATCTGGCATAAGATTTCCCACCAGTTCTACACTCTAAAATATTCTAAACATTCTAACAAAGATAAAGAAATTTCTTTTCTTCAATCCAGTAAACTTTGATCTCGTACCATGTGTTGTATTCAACAAGTTCAAAGAATTAACTATTATGTTCTTGTAAAATCCTATTAGGAAAATCAGGTTGTCTTCACAATATTTACAACGTTAAAAGGACATTGCATATTGGGCTACAGTATATACTACACTTTTACAATGCAATGTACCAAACATGGTTACTGTGTTCCAACAATTACACAACTACTTGAGCTGATCATAACGCTTCACCTGTGGGGGTTCGAAGTTCGGTCTCCACCAGTTGCCAATTGTGTCTTCAATTAACCAGTCCATAGGGGCTCCATCTTGTCTCCCCAGTGTCTGCAACAGAAAGTCACGTTGAAAGATTTGCAGCATATTTCATAACTATGTTGTTCAGACATCACACAGATTGGTGTATTACCTGATGCACAGCAATGAAATGCTGCTTCAATCAAGGACGTTACAGTAAATGAAGGTTATAACAAACTCGAAGGGACCACTAATTTTAGTTCGTAATAACCGTAGTTCATTATAAGCATATATACACCATTTATACAACAAATTGTCGGGACTAAAATATAAGTTTGTTATATTGGTCAGTTTGTTATAAGCGTGTTCGTTTGAAATGAGAGAACGAGAGATATCTGTAATGGCTTAATCCTTTTGGCAAAGATTACAAGTGGAAATCTGGATTTCAATTGGTAAGACATTGGATGTCGATTTATACAGTACATTGTCAGGTCTTATCAAAAGAGTATCACATCAATGGTAGACAACCATTATGGAGATATGACACATTCAAACTTCCACATGAAAGAGAGAGAGGGGACATCTGGGGGGGATATGTTGGGGGAATATGTTGGGGGAGACATGTTGGGAGGACGTGTTGGGGGGACATGTTGGGAGGATATGTTTGGGGGACATGTTGGGAGGACGTGTTGGAGGGATATGTTGGGGGGGGGGGGGACATGTTGGGAGGAGGTGCTGGGGGGACATGTTGGGAGGACGTGTAGGGGGGATATGTTGGGAGGACGTGTAGGGGGGATATGTTGGGAGGACGTGTAGGGGGGATATGTTGGGAGGACGTGTAGGGGGGATATGTTGGGAAGACGTGTAGGGGGGATATGTTGGGAGGACGTGTAGGGGGGATATGTTGGGAGGACGTGTAGGGGGGATATGTTGGGGGAACATTTTTGGGGGACATGTTAGGAGGACGTGTTGGGGGGATATGTTGGGGGGGGGGGGGGGGGGGGGGGACATGTTGGGAGGAGGTGCTGGGGGGACATGTTGGGAGGACGTGTAGGGGGGATATGTTTGGAGGACGTGTAGGGGGGATATGTTGGGAGGACATGTAGGGGGGATATGTTGGGGGAACATATTTGGGGGACATGTTGGGAGGATGTGTTGGAGGGATATGTTGGGGGGGGGGGACATGTTGGGAGGAGGTGCTGGGGGGACATGTTGGGAGGACGTGTAGGGGGGATATGTTGGGAGGACGTGTAGGGGGGATATGTTGGGAGGACGTGTAGGGGGGATATGTTGGGAGGACGTGTAGGGGGGATATGTTGGGAGGACGTGTAGGGGGGATATGTTGGGAGGACGTGTAGGGGGGATATGTTGGGGGAACATTTTTGGGGGACATGTTAGGAGGACGTGTTGGGGGGACATGTTGGGAGGATATGTTTGGGGGACATGTTGGGAGGACGTGTTGGAGGGATATGTTGGGGGGGGGACATGTTGGGGGGGACATGTTGGGGGTAGGTGCTGGGGGGACATGTTGGGAGGACGTGTAGGGGGGATATGTTGGGGGGATATGTTGGGGGAACATGTTTGGGGGACATGTTAGGAGGACGTGTTTGGGGGACATGTTAGGAGGACGTGTTGGGGGACATGTTGGGAGGACGTGTTGGGGGGACATGTGGGAGGGGGATATGTGGGGAGGGGGGATATGTGGGGAGGGGGGACGTGTTGGGGGGACATGTTGGGAGGAGGTGCTGGGGGGACATGTTGGGAGGACGTGTAGGGGGGATATGTTGGGGGAACATTTTTGGGGGACATGTTAGGACGACGTGTTGGGGGGACATGTTAGGAGGAATTGTTGGGGGACATGTTGGGAGGACGTGTTGGGGGATATGTGGGAGGGGGATATGTGGGGAGGGGGGATATGTGGGGAGGGGGGACATGTTGGGGGGATATGTAAGGGGGACATGTTGGGAGGACGTGTTGGGGGGATATGTTGGGAGGACGTGTTGGGGGGACATGTTGGGGGGACGTGTTGGGGGGATATGTTGGGGGGGGACATGTTGGGGGGACATGTTGGGGGGGACATGTTGGGAGGACGTGTTAGGGGGACATGTAGGTGGGACGTGTTGGGGGATATGTTGGGGGAACATTTTTGGGGGACATGTTAGGAGGACGTGTTGGGGGGACATGTTGGGAGGATATGTTTGGGGGACATGTTGGGAGGACGTGTTGGAGGGATATGTTGGGGGGGGGACATGTTGGGGGGGACATGTTGGGGGTAGGTGCTGGGGGGACATGTTGGGAGGACGTGTAGGGGGGATATGTTGGGGGGATATGTTGGGGGAACATGTTTGGGGGACATGTTAGGAGGACGTGTTTGGGGGACATGTTAGGAGGACGTGTTGGGGGACATGTTGGGAGGACGTGTTGGGGGGACATGTGGGAGGGGGATATGTGGGGAGGGGGGATATGTGGGGAGGGGGGACGTGTTGGGGGGACATGTTGGGAGGAGGTGCTGGGGGGACATGTTGGGAGGACGTGTAGGGGGGATATGTTGGGGGAACATTTTTGGGGGACATGTTAGGACGACGTGTTGGGGGGACATGTTAGGAGGACGTGTTGGGGGACATGTTGGGAGGACGTGTTGGGGGGATATGTGGGAGGGGGATATGTGGGGAGGGGGGATATGTGGGGAGGGGGGACATGTTGGGGGGATATGTAAGGGGGACATGTTGGGAGGACGTGTTGGGGGGATATGTTGGGAGGACGTGTTGGGGGGACATGTTGGGGGGACGTGTTGGGGGGATATGTTGGGGGGGGACATGTTGGGGGGACATGTTGGGGGGGACATGTTGGGAGGACGTGTTAGGGGGACATGTAGGTGGGACGTGTTGGGGGATATGTTGGGGGGACGTGTTGGGAGAGCGTGTTGGGGGGATATGTTTTGGGGATATGTTGGGGGGGATATGCTAGGGGGGATATGTTGGGGGCACATGTTGGGAGGACATGTTGGGAGGAAGTGTTGGGAGGACGTGTTGGGGGCCTATGTTGGGGGGACATGTTGGGAGGACGTGTTGGGGGGATATGTTGGGAGGACGTGTTGGGGGGACATGTTGGGAGGGGGGATATGTTGGGAGGGGGGGACATGTTGGGGGGATGGGTTGGGAGGGGGGGACATGTTGGGAGGATGTGTTGGGGGACATATTGGGAGGACGTGTTGGGGGGATACGTTGGGAGAGGGGACGAGTTTGGGGGGACGTGTTGGGAGGATGTGTTGGGGGGATATGTTGGGAGCACGTGTTGGGGGGATATGTTGGGAGGGGGGACATGTTGGGAGGGGGGGGACGTGTTGAAAGGGGGGGACATGTTAAGAGGACGTGTTGGGAGGATGTGTTGGGGGGATATGTTGGGAGGGGGGACGAGTTTGGGGGGACGTGTTGGGAGGGGGGGACATGTTGGGGGGACATGTTGGGGGAACATGTTAGGAGTGTATCTTGGGAGGACGTGTTGGTGGACATGTTGAGAGGGCAAGTTGGGAGGACATGTTGGTGGACATGTTAGGAGGATATGTTTGGAGGACATGTTGGGAGGATGTGTTGGGAGGAATTCGAGATATCTGGAGACGATATGCATTCTATCAAAGTAAGCTCACATATTTGACTTTAGTTTCTAGTGGATAGTTTACTTGTCTACAGATAACTGAAAGGCAACATGCTTCAGTCTCATTCAGCCAGGCATGGTATATCCTCACTCAAGCAAAGCAATGGTTAAACCAAATTACGTATCATACAGTGTTACCTCCCTTGATGTGACAGGGGAGGTAATGACAGCAACATGGTTAAAGTCACACTAACAGAGTCACCTCAAATTCTTGTCCACATATAATTATCACACCATGTGGTGACAACCAAACAGACATAATCTTAGCCTATATCAGTGTCACTAAACTGGGATGGGATACCCGGAATACCGGAATACCAATAAATGAACAGGGTTAACTGAGTTTAAGCTGTACAGACTGTCACCATACTTTTGCAGCAATCATATTTCTATGTCATGGAAAACAGATACATTTGAAGAATTGTCTTTTAAGATAGTTTACTGGAGGATTTAAACATTCAAAGAGTTTCATGTCTTTGGTGTGCCAGGATCCGATAATTCAACCTGATTATGATCCTTGGTTTGTCAGAACCATGCTCATGAGTTGCACCAAAGTGGTAAAGGTCTAATGTATGCATCACTGTGATAACTGAAACAATGTTCAAAGTGGTGTTCAAGCCAACCCATTCCCTCACTCTTGTCGAACGTCCCCATCAACAGTGAGTGCCTGAGTTGGGTTTAACGCTGCTTTGAACAGCATTCCAGTTATATCACAGCATTTCAGCTTGATGTTTGAGGAAAGCCTGAAGTGGTGCAGGTCTCAGACATTTACCACTTTGGTGAAACCCTCAAGCACGGGTATGGTGCTGACAAACCTTGAAACATAATCAAGGTGAACCAGGATCCGAATTCACAATCATAGGTTTCTGACGTTTCTGACACAATTGTCCCCATAAGAACTCAAACAGTGGTAGTACTCACCTCTGTCAGTAACCGCTTGAGACCATCGACCTGATCCTCCCCGGGGTTCAGCTCCCCTCCAGGTCTGGCGGAGAGAGGTGACAAGTAAGCATTAATAAGGTGTCCTGATAGACCACGGCATTGTCAGCGCCAACCTGACCATAAACTACCTAATACACCATATGTTTACCTGTGTACTGATTCATTTCTTAATTCTGAATCAAGTTCTAAAATAGTATTAACTATGTTTTGTACTAACCCAGTCTGATAACTACACAGGTTAACACTACATTACCGAAACAAAACAAAATGCTGAATTAATATGATCTATCAAAACAAGCCTCAAATAACCAGTGATGTACGTTGAAAACAAACAGGTTAATATCAACAAACTTACATTGGCCAGGGCCAGAAGGCGCACTGAGAATTGTACTCAATAATTCAAATAGTGTATCGCGATACATATTGTATCATGACCCGATTGTTGTCATACGTATCGACACATGAGGTAAGCATAACGTGTCACCCCGATCACTTAGTACAACCAGCACACTATCATAGACCATGTCTCCACTCTCTCAATCTTGTATAAAGGGTGTGTTTCAATCTCAAAGGGAAACATCATTTGTGAATGTATTTTTGAGTAGATCTTAGGTTAAATAACATACATAATAAACACTTGATAAAGAAACTTGTACCGTATTCGACGTAATAAGTGCCCAGGGCAATCTCAAAATTAGAAATAGGGGGCTCTCATTAGAATATTATTTTGGTGGAAAAAAAAAAGGGGGTGAAAGATAAATTTTGTGGTTTATGCTGACAGCCTGAAATGTTTATATATGAGAGATACATTTTTCAGAATTTAATTGCCCATAATTAAGGGTGCATGTAACACACGAGTGCATATTATACACAAATAAATAAGTGTTGTGTACATTGATCAATCGGAAGGGGTGCTAATTGGTATTTTTCACTTGCCAATATATTAGCAAATATCGCTGTGGGCATTTATCACGTCGAATACGGTAATACTTTTAGAATATTGAATCTTATATGTACAACTGAACATTGTAATGAGAGTGAATGGGATTTTCTTGTAGTCAAATAGAATAAACCATTGTCAATCTTCAAGAAAACTAAAAATCACTGCAGCACAATCAAAATCTTTCCATAGAGATGTTACATCATCTATATCAAATGGACATCACAGGGTCCAGGAAAAGCTAAGTGCTAACAGGTAAGTGAAAGATTTTCACATGTGTAGCGATTTCAACTTGGCATCTTCTCTCTGTGAACTACTTCTCTGAACAGAGTGGCTATGTGTTAGTCTAATTTGTTATTTTCTCACACGTACAGTTTGAAGAATGTAGTTCCAAGCTGTAGGAGTAGAACATGAGGGAGGCCATGTTCGTGTACAATGAGCACCCCTTCCACAGAGCGACGCATGCCGATCTTTTCAAACTCCTCCCTCATCCGCTGGAAGCGTGCGGGCACCGAGCTGTCCTTCTCATACAGGGGCTCCTTCGTTCCAAATGTGTAATTGTTGAGTGGATACCTGAAACAAACGACCATCATGTTGTACGAGACTACGACTAAAGACTGGATACATCAGATCCAACTAAATGAAACAATAAATGATATGCTTCATCCTGTGTCGGACCGCCTCAGTGGTCTAGAGGTAGAGCGTCCGACCGGAGAGCGGAAGGTCCAGGGTTCGATCCCTGGCCACGTCATACCAAAAGACGTTAAAAGATGGTACTTGTTGTTACCCTGTATGGCGCTCGACATTAAGGGGCTAAAACAAGGACTGGTCGGCTTGGAGTCAGTATACTGTGTCTGAGTGGGGTATTCATGTTAAACTGAGGCATGGTATCTCAGTGGGCTTGCACTATAAATCGGCATTAATCAGGACTAGTACAAGCAGCCACACACACATGCATGCACATCGCTATATCGGTAATCTTGGACGTGTCGTTAAACCCCCCTATTCCACCTCACCTTATCCTGTATCAATAGGTATCATTTCATCAATTTGATCCCAAATTGTCTGCACTATGTACGCATCAAATGGTTTTACAACTTGTTCTGATCAAAATTATGACTCCATCAAATGTATATAAGAAACATGTTACTCGTGATTATGTATTGTTGTGTGTATTGAAAACATGAACATTTTGCTATGTCCATTCTATCAGTGCTAATTACCCCCGGCCTCCCGTTTGCCCAGTGTCCATTACCTATTACTTATCTATGATAACTTAAGTACTGGCTTCCATACCTTCAGCGCTAATTACTGTAAAGTGTTTGCTTCCATTGTCTATTGCTAATCACCTATCAGCGCCAATCATCTGTTGGCTTCCTTTGCTAGTTTCTACCCTTTGTTATTTTCCACCTTTTGGTATCTTATTAATTTTGGTGTCCTTACCTGTACATATATATGCTCTCTGCCTCATGGCATTCATTCACCTGATGAACAAGTAAGCATATACTCCGAAACATTGTGTTCCTCATAATAAAGAAGTGGACATCCATATATTCTCTTCCTTATGAACATGTTGGACTTATCTTTACGATCTGAGTTACCATTACATGCATGCCCTCTGATTTGAATCAAATACTGATTACGTATAATTGACAGAAATCAACATGATTAATGTCATCTGAAGTGTAGCCAGTGATGTTTCCATTACGCTTAATAAATAATCCATACACCTTATATATTTTTATATAGTTTTAGTTGGGTTTAGTGTTGAATACTACTTTGAACATGATTTCTGTTTTAGTCACAATATTTGCAATGTGCACTCGAGGGGCCCCAGGGTGCCCAGTAGTCTAAGTGAGTGTCACTGTCATGTTCAGTTATAGGCAATTGCTAACAATCTGTCAGCATGGTCAGTCAGTTCTCCCAAGAAATATACACAGAATTTTAGTACTTTTCAAAAACATATATAGCAAGCCACAGTTACTAAGAGTATCATATAGGCATTTGTAGATTGTTGTGTGAGTCTAGCTGTCTGTATACCATGTATACGTTGGCAGACAGCAAATACATATATTTCTTATTCATTACCAGTTACATAAAGGGACAGTACATCAACGGCTCTGTGTGGTTTTAAATCATGCATGAAATACCTTTCGAGTGTGAGTGAGTTACAAAATACCAATTGCCAGCTTGATTAGATTAGAAGCCAGTGTGTATCAAGCCTAGATTACAATATTATTATAAATATGCCTTGGTTGTTATAATCCGAGGCACATGCAAACAAGCAAAATTGAGTTGCATGAACCTAAAATGTTCCAATACTTCAGAAATAACACATCAAAACTTCTTACAACTGGTAAGTGGCCAAACTGTAGTCTTGCCTCTAGGCAACATGTCAGCTCGCTACCGTCGAAACATGAAGTGAACGGGTTACCGGTGTGTTATTACCTCAAGTTGTGTATGTGTATAGATAGCCGAGAGCCACGATGTAGTCCTACAGTCAAGACATGGTCCTACATCATGGCCCAGAACACCACCCTCATAAATCCTATTCAGAGTGTGGTGGCCGATTACATTCATATTTTTCTGAGAATTTTTACAACTACAGTAAACTATGTTTATAACGAACAGGCTTATAACGAACTGGCGGATATAGTGAACTGGTTTTTAGATCCCTGTCATATGCTGTCTATATGCTGTTTATATGCTTATAACAAACTACGGTTATAACGAACTAAAATTTGTGGTCCCTTTGAGTTCGCTATAACCGTAGTTTACTGTATTTCCCATGGGTTTGTGACTGAAAGGTGGATATCGATGTATTCCCAGATAATTTCCCTATCTATACACGAGCTTGTCATAATTTTATTACCACAATTTGAGGTAATAACACACAGGTAGCCCGTTCACTTCATGTTTCGAGGATAGCGACCTGACATGTTGATATGGTGTATGCATGCACTAGATTTCTATAGTCTGTTTCTGCATAGGTTTTCTACAAGCCATGTTGTTCTTAATGCAATCGGAAAACAACAACTTCGCACATTTCCACAGAGGATACTTCAAGCTATGTGTAAAACATGGGCTATTTACAAAAGACCTGACATGTTGATATGGTGTATGCATGCACTAGATTTCTATAGTCTGTTTCTGCATAGGTTTTCTACAAGCCATGTTGTTCTTAATGCAATCGGAAAACAACAACTTTGCACATTTCCACAGAGGATACTTCAAGCTATGTGTAAAACATAGGCTATTTACAAAAGACTTTTAATGGATTGATATATGAAGCGGAATTAGAAACATGGAATAGATAGAGAGATAGAGAGAGTTTTGAACTGGATCTAACGCTGTAGTTCCATGTAAATAGGTTACCTATTTCAAGCATACTCGAATCACCAATGTCAAAAGTGTTTGTCAAACAACAAACAATGTGGTATATTTTTCCATCTTCCTGCTTGATAATGATCACAACATCTAATTCTGAATAAAGTACACCACTGATAGTATTTCATTGAACTGATCAGGTTCTAGATTGGAATTACCTTTGATAAGTATACTTGTGTTTTATTAGATACTATATGCACATTTCCTGGTTAATATCTGTCAGCTTGGGCTTTACCAGGTTTACAAGTTCGATAGCCTGTGCCTAGAAGTAGTGAACATGTTATTCTCGAGCATAAAAATGCCAAGATTGTAATAGCTGTCAACACTTTGGACAACGTAAAAGATTATCATCTTAAAGCCAGTGAGTACACCTGATATTAAGATTGAAAATACTAAACCAAATGAATCCGTCTTTTCTTTGCATGCTTTCTACATGTTCTATACATGTTCCTTCTAATATAGTCAGTTGGCCACAAGCGGAAAAGAGGCTTAGTTTAGATTTTCGTTCCCACATTTTCCTGTATACCTTAAACCTTTTGCATTACATAAAGGAGGTATCTGTACACAATTTTCATTGGGTAGCAAGCTTGCAAGTGTGTGCATGAATTTTCTGGGGGTCAAAATTGCATAAATTGAAGGAAAAATACATAATTTGACAAAATTGGCTGTAACATTTTTATTAAGTAATTAAACTATCCAACTTATGTCTTTGATTACAGGTAATGTGTTCGGTTATTTGAACTTGGCAAACATTTAGTTTCATTTAACTGTTATTTTAATTCTTAGTGGAAACATTGATAAAAATAATGTTTTTTTACTTCATTTTCAAATTGTGTGAGTAGGTAATTCCACTGAGAATTTGTTTGTTGACAGAAGGACAGTATCATCGGTATATATACAGATTGAGTTAAAGTGCATCCTGCAAGCGCAAGAAACATGTTTTCCGCTAGCAGAAACTGCTTCATTCAGCTTGTAGAAAACCCATGCAGAAACAGACTACAGAAATCTAGTGCATGCGCACATCATGTCAACATGTCACCTGGCTATCATGGAAACATGAAGTTAACGGGTTACTGGTGTGTTATTATCTTAAATACGTGTATCGATAGGGACATTATTTGGGAGTAGAGCGATATCAACTTTTCAGTCACAAACCCATGGGAAATATTTTTTTAAATCTCAGAAAAATACAAGGGTAATCGGCCACCACACTCTGAATAGGATTTATGAGGGTGGTGTTCTCGGCCGTGATGTAGGGTCATGTCTTGACTGTTGGACCACATCGCAGCTCTCAGCTACACCATTGCACTCCAGAATGCTGTTTTTTGCTTGCACATATATATATATAGAGATCATTATATTGCCAAGTTTGTATACCAATGATATTATGCATAAAGCATGCCCCAGATAGTACAACGGTTAAATGTGAAAAAATAATTGTCTTCAGAAGCCAACTTTTTTTCTAATCACACGTTCGCGCCGTTTAAATTTTCAGATCGTACTCAAGTCATATCAAAGAAACCCTTATAGATTACGGGCAAGATTCAAATCAGGCCAAAAAGAATGTCCACGCATAGAACAACAGCAAAAGCAGTCATTATAATGATAGCCTACGCTGGTCGTATAAACAGTCAGGCATCTCTTTGTCGGAAAGTTGTGCCGGCTACATGGTCTGTTTTGGGGTGGAAAACAGAAGGTTTATATCAGATGCATTTGGATAGTCAGTAACACAACTTACAGATTAATCGTTCTTTCAAGCGTCATTGCAACTGATCCTGCATACTTTGACCCGAAAGAAGGGCCAGTGCTGCCCGCAGGCTGTCCGGTTTTCCTCGGCCAACCCGAAACTCTACCATGTGTCGCCATTTTGTCTTCGTTTAAACGTTTCGTATGAAAAAAATATCTAACGTGTGCTAAAACCTTTTCAGTTTATTTACATGCTATATGTAAATTAAATATATTAGAAACTGTAATATGACATTAATGAAATTGCGAAGGAAACAAACAAATACTTCGATAAAAATGTTAACTTTGTATGGGAGGATTTCCAAAGGGAGATAAATCAGCAGGTGCCCGTGGGAAGTTCAAACTTCCGCAACGTTTGTTTAGGGCTTTTATAATCCTTTCCTCTGTCCCATCATGTAAGATTTCATCAAGTTGTTTCACATGTTCTTGCATTCTTATAATTTGCTACATTATTTCGACCATGCTCTAGACCGTTAGGGCACTGGGTTATTGTATAATTGGATCATGAAGTTTTAAATCAGCCAAACGGGTTATAGCCAAAACGCCATCTCAGCAAAACGGCACCGAGGGAAAATTGAATCGATTGTCTAAAACGGCACCACGCGTGGCGAAAACGGCACCTTATTTGTTTTTTTTACCTTGGTACTGAAATAAATGATATTAAACTCACATGGTCACGTGCAAACACAAATAATAATTAGGGAAATGTTAATATGATTTAGCATTATTTAGCCAAATTGGTTTATGGTCAGCTCCGCACAATATATACGGGAGTAGTGCACTTTACCGGGCGCACTTTTTCAGATCCAATTAGCGCTGTGGGGGCTCAAACGCGCTTCGCCGGCTCATCGGCTCTGCTAATTAATATGTTAATTAGCCGACGCTCTACCACTGGACCACAGGCGCTATCACATGTAATCAGTGTTCGTTTAACGGGTCATTAGAATCCCCTTTGACATGCATGCGTAATTCAGTAAACAATGAATTGCGCATGCATGTGACGTCACAGTCCGCTCGCCCATTCATCTTTTCTTGAAACCACACCCGCAATTGTTTATGTCAACATGACTGACCAATCGGATTAACGCTTGAAAAGGTAAGAATTTATGGCTAACCCTTGCCCAAAGCAAGCTAACCCTAATGACCGAAAAGGGGTTTGGGATCGTAAAAATGTGTAAGTTTCCCTAAGACCGAAAATGGGTGTTGGATTGTAAAGACATGTAAGTTTCCCTAAGACCGAAAAACGGGTGTTGGATCGTAAAGACGTGTAAGTTTCCCTAAGACCAAGAACGGGTGCTTGATTGTAAAGATGTGTAAGTTTCCCTAAGACCGAAAATGGTTGTTGGATCTTGAAGCGAGAATCACCAGAGCGTGAGGCACGGTAACGGTATAACGAGACAGCGGTGGCACTTTAGCACGGTAATTGAGCCGATGTACCCACCCTGAGATCAAGCATGACGCTCCATTTTATACTCCTCAGGGAATCTATTTAAACCAGGCGGGCATGGCCCAAATGTACACAGGACATTGTTTAGTTATGAGTAAAGGTACAGTTCGGGTAAGTATGTAACTTCACTTTGGGGGAGGCGCATAATTTTTCTTAATTTGCTCCAAATATAATATAACGTGTGGATGTCAGCGGTGTGCAAAATGTATTTATACATTTTGCACCGTGCTGTTTGGCATGGTGTAGTTGGGGGGTTTGGTTTAACACCATGCTGGTGTGTGTACGATACTCTGGCTGCCTGCTAACTACAGCGGGAGCCCAAACTCTTCTGCCCGGGGGAGTGACAGTATCTTTGCTGTGGGTCCTGCCTGCCAAGCACGGTGGAGGGACAACTTGACCCGCAATAGGGTCTGTGTGTGATTTCTAGTCCGCGGTAGGACCTTGCTTATCGCCCCCGCCTACATCATCCACACTCTGCCCATTATATCCCACAAAACATCATTGTTTGTTAATCTTTCCTTCTAAGGTAGTCTGAACATAATCACCTTAAAACAGGTTTACATTAGAAATTAGCCTCTTCTCCTATTTACTCCCCAACTCTTGACTGGGAGGCGCAACTAAACTTATTGTGAAAACATCACATGCTTTGAAGTTTTAAGTACCTTTACTCAATGTCAAGCTGAAACTGTACTTAGGACAATATTCATCTGTGAACAACTGTGAATAACTGTGGAAGACAAGACAATGTAAATAAAGCATGTATTCTACAACATAACATAGTAAAGCATGTAAATAAAGCATATATACAACAACATAAATCGTTCTTATTGTTATTAAAAATATAGGTGCCGTTTTTGCCAAATGAGGTGTTTTCACCCGAGAAATCTGTTACATTTTGTTGAGGTACCGTTTTAGCCTGAACCCGTTCAAACACTACTGATCCACCAACTAAAGTTTCATTTGGTAAGGTGAATAGTCACAGTGTCAAAACATGTATTAAAAAAAGATAAGTAAAAAGAGCAGATTCCTTTGGATTAATGAAAGAAATAAAGCAAACAAATAGAAACTAATGTTATTTATGCTTATATTTATACTTTTTAATGTGGACAATACTGCATTCGTATGACATTAGTTTGGACTAGTTCTTTCAGACGTTTGCCTTAGTCTTCAATGCTGTGGTTATTGTATGTAAATTGTGATCAGAACTTCTGTTTACAGACAACATGGATGCGGGAGACTCACTTAACGATGAAACAGACGAGAGATGGACATGTATATGTACAGATGGGACAAGGATTGAGATCAGTCTACAACAATTTGTACAACACTCAGGCTACTTCGCCGCGATGATAAGAAGTAATGTACAAGAACATCTGACGAAGGAAATCAGCCTGGAATTGCTTTCAGTGCAAACAATGACTGAGATCCAGAAGCTGTTGGATATATTGTCCTGTCGACTGTTTGAAATGGAGGCAGAGCTGCAGGTGTTTGAAATATTCTCACAGCTTTCAGACCTGTCAGAAATGGACATGTTATTGACAGCTATTGACTACCTGGACATGCACAAGCTGAGGAAGCTTTGTGACAAGTTCTTTTGTTCACTGCATGAGTCCAATATGGACAATCTTTCCTATCTCCTACATCTATGCACTAACTTCACGCTAAAACAATTAGAAAAGAAAATTCTGTCATATTTGCTTAAAAACGTTTGTAGTATCCTTAATTCAGAAACATTCAAGATGTTGCCTTTTCCTCTACTGAAATGCGTTTTAGAAAGTAACAAGGCAAATGTTTCCTCTGAGTGGGACCTAGTTACAGTCTTGGATGAATGGGCTATGAGTCATTGTCAAAATGAATCTGATGAAAAAAATATTTTTGAATTAGGGAAATGCATCAGAATTTTATCTTTAACAGATTGTGAAAATTACGAGAAGCAGCTTGCAGAAATAAGAAATAAATGTCTAAGAAATCAAATTAAAACAGCTATATGTGAACGTGATGATGATCAAGAGAAGTATATTTTAAGTCATCCGTCTCACAACCAGAAGAGGAGAGGTCAGAGTATACTCCTAGCCATGAGAGTCCCCTTTGGGAATAAACTTGACAGAGCATGTTCATTTTCTAAAGACTTCAGTATTGAGAATAATGAGGATATTGTGTTCAACGAGAGTCATCGGTTGTCAACGTCCATCCCGTGTGAAGCTCTGCGAGAGTTTTGTGTGTGTACACTTGGACAGTATGTGTATGTAGCTGGTGGTCAGCGAAAATACTCTCTGGCTGGTCAGTTTGCGGTCAGTGATATGTACCGGCTGGACTTGGACAACCTGCAGTGGACGACGGTAACTACCTCTCATATGATATCTATGCAGATTCAAAGAACTTGTGGGTTCTAAGGACCCTGCTTATCATGCATCGTTATGGGGATTCAGCAGCAGAATAATTGCCCTGTTGTCCAAATAACAGACCATGTAAATTCCCTATTTTCCCATTTTCGTCAAATCATGTTTGCAGTGAGTGTTGCCCATGCTTCTTTCATCACTATTACAGCTAAATGATTGCAGCCTGAAAAATAATCAGGTCCATGCTAATGTGTGGTCCACTGCATGAGCAACGCTCCATGCTGTTTTGGAACTGTGATTGGACACCCTGAAAATCAGTGGCAAACTGGTGACTGGGGACCCGTGAAGATGCAGGGTAGAATAGGTACTGTGCTTGTCGTAAGAGGCAACTAACAGGATCGGGTGGTCAGGCTCTACTGACTTGGTTGTAGCATGTCATCGATCCCATTTGTTTGGATCGATGCTCATGATATCAGTCACTGGATTGTCTGGTCCAGACTCGATTATTTACAGACCGCTGTCATATACCTGGACTATTGCTGAGTGCGGCATAAAACAACAAACCGACCAACCAACTAACTGGTGCTGGGAACATGAGCTATGATCCAGGCATGGCACTGTGACCTTCAATCTGCCATTGTCCAACATTGTTACATCCCAGCCTCAATACAATCAGCTGCTTTGACAAGCGTGGGGTACATGGACCCTATTCTACCCCGGAATCCCCTTCAGTCCCTCCCATGTAAAAGTTTTTGTCATGAAATGATTGAAAAATGACCACATTAAACCTGTGGTTTCTATGTAACACCTTGTACACTGTGTGTGACTATCATGTATTTGTCGGGGATGGTGTAGCCAAGTGGTTACGCGTTCACTCGTCACGCCCATGGGTACATTGTGTGAAGCCCATGTCTGATGTCCCCCACAGGAATATTGCTAAAAGATGCGTAAAGCCATACTCACTCACTCATGTACACGTTGTTCGTCAAGTAACAAATCTTCAAGAAAGATACTTTCATGTACGCTATAGAAATAATGACCTTATTGTGTGTTAATGTTTAGCATGCATGATGAATGTAGTAAACATGGAGAAAAAATGCTGAAATTGCTATTGTTTGGTGTCCAGGTGAAGCCGATGTCTGTGAGGAGGTGTTTGTTTCACATGGAAACTATCTCTAAGCAGCTGTATGCTGTCGGGGGCATCAACATTGATGGGGAACTGTCCTCCGTGGAGAAATATGACCCGGTGACAGACCTGTGGACCCCTGTACAGAGTCTGGACTATAACATACATGAACATGCAGGTGCAGTGAACAAAGTCGGTATTCCCTCCAAACGTTATCTGAGACACAGCTAGGCCACAATCAATTAGTTATTAGATTTTCATATACATGTATATATTTCGTAAACATGACCATTTCATCAAGTATAGAAAGCAGGGAATTCATCATGTTCATGGAGTGATTTTTCTTCATTAGTAGATTGGGTACTCGTGTCGGGTGGGTACTGAGTAGGACCCGGGTACCCACAGGACTACCCGGACCCATGGTTAGTCACATGATATATTATTTAATGAGAAAAAATCACTTCTATAACTCCTTGGTTACCTACAAATCGCTAATGTTCGGATATCTTTCTAACTATAGGCACATTCCTTCTGACTTTAATATGTTTTGAGTAAAGATACAGCTTCAGTCAACTTCAGTGTATGCATGACCAGATCATTTTATAGGTGTATCTAAATACTTTTTGCCAGGGGTACAGTAAAACAATTCCAAATCTGACATTTTGTACCCAACTCCTGAGACCTACATGGGGTCACCGGGAAGGGTCGGGTAATAGGGGGTCTTGTACCCGGGTAGTAAATTTGGACTCATCTCAGCGCTGGAGTGTTGGGGAAGAGGGTATTGTGGTTGGGGTAGTTTATTGTGGCCAAATCATTCTAATGCCAAATTAATAATAATTATGATAAGGTGAAACAAATGATGTCATTATGATGCACATTGGAAGTCACATTTCCAATGTTCTTCCAAGTTTATTCTGCTGTACAGCCCATTTGAGTGTACGTTTTGGTTGTCTAACCTGTGTAGATACCAATCCCATGAGCAACACAAGTAGTTTATTCAACAATTTCGGATTAATTTGTTGATGTACTTAATATCTGTGAGTTTGAATTGTTTTTCTTGCTTTTTTTTGCAGTAGCCTTGTGGTTAAACTGTTTGCTCATCTGGTTTTCAATTACTAACAGTGGAACAGTGTATGACAACCAGTGATATTCCGCATGATATTGTTGGAGTATTTATGAAATTGTTGTAAAACCTCACTCCTCCCATTTCAGGTTGTGGCCATGGCAAGTTGATGTACATCTGTGGAGGCCATGACGGGAAAAGTCATGTAGAAACGCTGTGTCGGTATGATGGGACAAGTGATACATGGTCTCGGTGTGCCCCGATGTTGACAACTAGATCATGTCACTCTGTGATTCGCCTCAATGACAGACTGTATGTGATTGGTGGCAGCAAGATAAAGAGGTTCAAAGTGTATGGAATACAGGTAGGGTGTAGTAATAACATGCTTGTCCTATGTCAAAGCTTATATATGACTATTTAGCCAGCATATAAGCGAGAGGGTGGGTGGGGATTAGGTCATCATCGGGTCCGCCTGTCCCTCCGTATATCATTTCTGGAGTATAACTTGAAAACTGTGAAAGAGTTTTTATCCTAACTTAGCACATGTATTGACCAGGGGCTGGAGTAGTGCCTTTTGCTATTGTGGGGGCTGGGGGGATTTGTCATCTTCTGATGACTCTTCTTTATCAAGGATTAATTTTCTTGTATACATTAAATCCTGAAGTAGTGTGAGCTTGGTGAGATGTGCCTCTCATCAAAATAGATAGGGGGCGACAGGGTTATCCCACATGTTTCTGAGGCTAGGGAGTTAACTGGCTATAAATGTCCAGTTTCCACCCTTGCCGAACTACGCTGGAATTTCATGGCTCAGTTTTTTTGTAACGCCACTAATGTCTGTTTCAAGTTATGTCCCTGCTGTGTGCCTCCTATTGACCAATCAGATTCAACCTCTCATATCCCTTGCATTTGCTTCAAACAATCAATCAAAGTCTATATTGGGATAAAACTGGTCTTACTTCGTGAAGTGCATCAAGTCAGGTGAGCATTTGTTTAAAAACATGACATTTTTTGGGAAATTTCTGTTGACACAGAGTTGGTGACACGCATGCTTTGCAAATCCTGCAATCTCCCAAAATCTGCACGACAGTTTACGAACCAGATGTCGGTTTTGTTACGCAATTTTGATTGGACTATGCAGCGGTAGAAACTAACATATTTAGCCCACTAGTCCTTATAATGATATATAGCAAAACCATTAAAAATGGTAAATTTCTACTAGTCCTTATGATATCTTAATTATTGGGCATTTAGGCAAGGACTACAGGACTAGTGCCAATTTCTAACACTGCTATGCATAGACTCGTTAGTCCAGCCAAAATATACCTCCATAATTCCAGCCTAGTCCAGCAAGGTTGAAAGCTGGACTTTTATAGTCAGTTAGCTCCCTTGCCTCGGGAAGATGGGTAATCCAATAGTAAGACCTTTGCTCACCACAAGACCGGCGTTGGAATCCCAACAGGGAAATTCTGAGCTAGAATAGGTCCCAAGTAACCTATGCTGATTGTGAGAGGCGACTTAAACAGTGGATCGGGTAGTCAGACTCAGTGACTTGTGGATGCTATGTTAACATACCCCGAACATTTGTGATTACATGTATATCACTGGATTGTCTATCCGAGATTATTATTTACTTGCTGCCGCCATACAGCTGGAATACTGCTGAACACCGAGTTAAGACTACAAACACATACACCCTTTCTCACTCTTTCTAGATGCAAAGATTCAAGGTAATATGCTTCCATGTGGTGCTAGTGTAACACTACATCCGACACCTACATGATCCTGTCAGGACATATTGAGGTTCTCCCTTAAAGGGGAAGTGTACACGCAAAAATCACTTTCTTTCTTTTTCTAAACAAAACGCAATTTTAGAATTAGTTAGTATCTGTGTTTGAAAATATACGCTCATTTTTTTTCACAGTGAAAGTAGGAAGCTCACAATAGTGTTAAAATGATATGTCGTTATGAGGCCTTCGTTTTACGAGCGAAATAGGCCTGAGTTATCCCCCTTAGATTATGACGTAATTGGTGCCAATTCAACTGGGTCCCTGTCTATTCTCAACGCAAAAGATATCAAGGACCAGTTTGCGGTAAAACAACATGGTCTACGACACACTCCGGCGCAGTGGTGACTCAGCATAACACAATTCTGGCTGGCATCTGAGACGCTAGAATCACAAAACTGTACCTACACCACGTGAAGCGGCTCTAACAAAGCATGATGACGTCATAATGTTTATCAATTGGCACCAATGACGTCATATTGCAAGGGGCATAAGCCATGGTGTTTTTGTTATGGAAATAGAACACTTGGTAAATGTGAAAAATATAAATCGTTTTAATGCAAAAAATATGTTAATTAAATATGATGTTTTTATATTTTTGTCTATGACACTTCTATGTTAACACTTTTAATGTGGAAAAAGTACAAGAAAAATTGGTTCATTTCCGTGTGAACTTGCCCTTTAAGCTAGAAGTCCCTGTGTCTACAACAAAGTTAGACCTAACTTCCATGGTTACAAAGAGGAGCCTATGTGCTCAGTGTGTCCTAGCCTTCATCCCGCCTACCTAATGACTGAACAGTGCTGATTGTTGACAGTCATAATTTTGAAATAATGTTTGTTATCATTAAACACGTAAAGAAATATGTTTCCTGATTTCACCATTTCTATTCCTCACAGACCATCGAGTGTTATAGCACCACAACAGACCAGTGGAGTGAAGTGCGAGCGGAGTTTCCCAGTGTGTACACAGCATGTCAGAGTATCTATTCCCGCCCCCGATCCAGTCGACTCTTGGTGCTCGGGGGGTACAGCTACAAGCATCGCGCCTACACCATCGAGATGCACAGCTTCTGTGAACGAACGTGCACATGGGCGAAAGTGCCCATCTCATTCAACAGCAGACGGAAAGACCAGAGAGAGGCTATCATTCTTGAGGTCAAGGTCAACAAGCATTTGGCTGATCAACTTGTGAAAAATAAAAGATCATGTACATTGAAATAAAATACGAAAAATGTCATTGTTTTTGTGTTTTAGTTTACTGCATATGTTGTTTCCGATTTTGTTGAAAAATGAAGATAACTTCTGAAGTACAGTTCAGCATGTTTACATGGCGATGATTGAACCATTTTGATTTGATTTTTGATGTATTATGTGATCAAATTGGGATAAGAGATATCTCTTGGAATTAAACATATATGGAGAACAGCAATAATGAAGGATGGTGTTCATCAGTGAGATAATGGCTCACACAAGCACATTCAATACACATTCAATCCTCATAGGCTAGTGGCTAGTTTTAGACAAATGTATTTTCAAGGGAAGTACCACCAATGCCTTTTGGGGTTTTCCTTGAATGGTTGTCATGTGAGGCGATACAATTTTGCTGTACAGAGTTGCCTCCCTTAGGGGTGCCAGAAACCTAAGATCGTGAGTTCAAATCCTGGTTCTCCTTAATTGTTTATAGGTTTGTTGGCATAATAACAGTACTCTTCAATGTAGAGAGAAGTGATGCTGTAGCCAAGTGGTTAAAGCGTTTCCTCATCACACCTAAGGTCAGGGTTCAATTCCCCAAATGGGTACAGTGCGTGAGCCCTTTGTGGTGTTCCCGGCGTGGATATTGCTAAATGCAGCATGAAACAATACTTACTCTTCAAATTCATGAAAGGTTAGACGCCACCAAGGTGCAGCATCCTGGATATCCAATGTATTACATCTTCATTCTGTTATGATAAATACCAGCAAATTCGATTAGCTAAAAACATAATGTCATTTACATCTAAACGGTCATCAAGACTGCTTTCTTTGATGAAACGAACTAAGTCATATTCCTGAAAGTTAATCCTACCCCTACCCAGTCTTAAGATTTAAGACAGAAATTGCTAAACTTAAGCCTTTGTCTCGCTTTATGAAAGTGACTTAAGTAAATTCTTGAAACCCAAGACAGAAAACGTAAAATAAAATTATATAAGTATATTCCAAGACTTAAAAACAACTTATGTTCTTTTATGAAAACTACCCGGGTAGACTAGGTCTGCAGCAACCCATGCTTGTCATATCAGACGACTAAAGGGTTCGGATGGTCAGGCTCGCTCACGTGGTTGGTGCAATGTCATCGTATCCCAAATGCGCAGATCGATTAGACAGCTAATGTTATGAGACTGTGTGTAACATGGAAACCAAACGAGCCCTATTCAGTGCATGAAACCATGCGTTACAGCACATTGACACGATGTGTTGATCGGATACCACAAGACTATAGCACATGTTACACAAGATACCAAGCAACAAACAATGCTGTTTGTACAATGTAGGCTGAGTACTTGCTGGTTTCGACCCGTGAAGATCTTGGGTAGAATAGGTCTCCAGCAACCCATGCTTGCCGTAAGAGGCGACTAACATGATTGGGTGGTCAGGTTCGCTGATTTGGTTAATGCATGTCATCGGATCCCAATTGCGTAGATCGATGCTCTTGATGTCAATCATTGGACTGTGTTATCCAGACTCGGTTATTTACAGACCGTCGTCATATAGCTGGAATATTGCTGAGTGCGATGTTAAACAACAACCAACCAACCAACAACCATATTTCACTTTCTGCACTGACATAAATGATTTCCATTATCTTGTATTGTCTACAAGTATGTTGAAATGCTTTCCCTTCTTGGGTATAACTGTTAATGGAATCGCGAAATGAACTTTAGGTTCAGTTGCTTTTATGAAACCAGCTCTCGGTATCACTCATGATTGTAATCCGATCCGATCGTGGTCTATCTTTTGAATACAGTCCCAAACGTAGCTATGGTAGCTAATGGGTCAAGGGTATTTATCATCATACAATGGATATATTATACGATGGATAATCGACCACGGGGTGGCTGACTGGCTTCATATTTGGAAATAGTAGCTTTGGTAAGGTAAATCTGAGAAGACGTACTGCTGCCAATATTTGATAATGAAACAAATCGATTTTTCCGAGCGGTGTGTGTGTTTGTCTGTCACTGGAGGAAGGACATTCTGCAGTATTTTCCAATAACCTGCCATTCAGCATTCTCCGACTCGCCATTAACAAATATGACTAAATGCCAAAGTAGATATAATTCACTGGTGCACTTTAAAACAAAAATGCTAGCACGGATTTCGGGACACAATTTGCGTTTGTTAACGTTAACGTTAAAGTGAAGTCAATAAACATGACCCCAAACTATGTATTTTTTTATACGTCAACATGATAAGTATGCTTTGTGGGGATTGCGTCCGCGTCATAACTGCTTCTTTGGCCCCCTTCTTATTGTGCTTCAGGCTTTCAGCCCTCCTTGTCTTTGATACGTCCAAGGCTTTGACGACAGAGTATTGCGGTAGCAGGTGAAGCGCCCGTAATATATTATTGCTTACCTTTCATGGTGTGATATTTATGTGGCTTGGGGAACGAATCTAACATTGTAACATATTTACGCGTTCATTGGCATCAATCTTATCAGGTTCACTACATCGAAAGTTTACAAACTGATATGGGTTCTTAATAAATCTCTTGTACCACGCATTGAAATTTTATGGGATTGTGTGCTGCACGTGCACCCACGTAAAATGTGACTCTAACATGGATCGGGAGAATGGGATTGTATCGCGCTGAACTACACAGTTGGACGAACAAGGATTCGCTGGTTATGGGCTCCTTACCCAGATTCTCTCCCATTCGGATCCTTGTACAACAGCAGTGCTTGTGGGTTACTTCAAAGTGGCAACATCTATCAGTTGTCGGTCTGCGTCGGACGCATTTTAGTTAAGATCCGGGAGAAGGTGGGTCCTTCTCATTTCAGTTGGTTTCCAATCTTACATAATCATCTCTATCAGCAGTCCAGACTGGTGTCCTTACCTCGGCAGGGCGTTATAACCAAAGACGCTCGCACAGAATTAAAATACACCCGTGAAGATCCGGGTTAGAATTGATCTTCAGCAAGCCATGCACCCTGCTTGTCGTAAGAGGCAACTAACGGGATCGGCTGGTCAGGCTGGCTGACTTCGTTAATGGATGTCATCGTATCCCAATTGCGTGGATCGATGCTCATGATATCAGTCACTGGATTGTCTCGTCCAGAGTCGATTACTTACTGACCGCCGTCATATAACTGGAATATTGCTGAGTGCGGCGTTTAAAACCTAACAAACAAACAGAATAAAAAACACAGTCGCACTACAATAAAATAATTTAATCCATATTTATGCATCTGTATTTACAGAGGAAACCACCAGTAAACTTGGAATTGAGATCTCATCCAAACATATCTAACAATGATCAACAATAACAAGAATGTGCATTTTGACAGATAAATAAATAAATAATAACGTTTTTAACACTCGTGAGGTGCTCATTAGGTTATATATACATGTTTAAGACTCGTTAACAAGCAAATAACTGATTGGTAGACGCGCAGAATGACTAGACATGGTGAAATTAGGAATGAACATTGCTATATACATGATATCCAGGTTAGTAGAACCTTGTATGCAGTGTATGTCAATACCAGGTGATAGCAGCCTTGTGTACACGGTATGCCATGCGTTTGTTTAATTCATGATAGTCAATAGCAGGTGATATGGGTTCCTGGGATGCATGGTACTCTATATTTGGCATACGGCGAACCTTTCATAAAGTGTATATACCATTCATTCTTTGAATGCTTATTCAATAGTAGGTCGTGTGACCCTTGCACACAGTGTTTATTTACAATAGCAGGTCACATGACATGAACATTGTATGAATATTGTACAGATAGAATATCCTAGGGGATTTGTGTAATATATGTATTTGTAAAACAGGAGAGCCTAAGAATTAACCCCATGAAAAAGGATGACACAATGAAAATGTTTACAATGAAGGGGATTCTAACCACACAATGCTTTATAGGACTTCACTCTCGGCTTAAAAATATCCGGGATTCCACAACAATAAATGTTTAGGTAAATCAGGTGACTTGAGCAACACGTTTAGAGTTATGTTAAAATACATACATATATATAACACAATTTCTCAATCGAAATATTAAATACGCAACCTATTAAAAAGGCTTGCTTAATTTTCACAAGATTATATTTAATATCATTTCATCATTATCCTTTGTTGATGGTATCGAATAACCTATGAAATGTGAAATGGAAAGGATCTTTTTTGGCATAAACACATGTCTCCCCTTGAACAATCACTATTTCCTGCTTGACATTGTCTTGTTTGACATTCAAAAACACTTGATGTACTCAATTCGTCGGAACTATGCGTTCTTCGTTGATCACTGTAAAACACCTTGCTGTCATTAACAGATTATTACATCACAAATTGAGTGAAGGTCCCTTCCCTTCTCAGCAATAAATATGCGACTACACGACTCCTGGTTCTTCATGTTGCTGTGGGATGGAGGTTTGGGTCCTAGCAACATGAGGCCTTACTCTGTCACAGCTCTTCCTGTTACTATGGACGTTACTCTTGTAGCTGTCCCCGTTGCTAACATCAGTGGACGTTACTCTTGTAGCTGTCCCCGTTGCTAACATCAGTGGACGTTACTCTTGTAGCTCTCCCCGTTGCTAACATCTGTGGACGTTACTCTTGTAGCTGTCCCCGTTGCTAACATTAGTGGACGTTACTCTTGTAGCTCTCCCCGTTGCTAACATCAGTGAACGTTACTCTCGTAGCTGTCCCCGTTGCTAACATCAGTGGACGTTACTCTTGTAGCTGTCCCCGTTGCTAACATCAGTGGACGTAACTCTTGTAGCTGTCCACGTTGCTAACATCAGTGGACGTTACTCTTGTAGCTCTCCCCGTTGCTAACATCAGTGAACGTTACTCTCGTAGCTGTCCACGTTGCTAACATCAGTGGACGTTACTCTTGTAGCTGTCCCCGTTGCTAACATCAGTGGACGTTACTCTTGTAGCTCTCCCCGTTGCTAACATCAGTGGACGTTACTCTTGTAGCTCTCCCCGTTGCTGATATCAGTGGACGTTACTCTTGTAGCTGTCCCCGTTGCTAACATCAGTGGACGTTACTCTTGTAGCTGTCCCCGTTGCTAACATCAGTGGACGTTACTCTTGTAGCTGTCCCCGTTGCTAACATCAGTGGACGTTACTCTTGTAGCTGTCCCCGTTGCTAACATCAGTGAACGTTACTCTTGTAGCTGTCCCCGTTGCTAACATCAGTGGACGTTACTCTTGTAGCTGTCCCCGTTGCTAACATCAGTGGACGTTACTCTTGTAGACTCTCCTGCTACTAAGGAACCGAGAGTGTAATGGTGGTGTCACCGCTGGGAAGGAGCTTGTTCTTCCTGTTACTAAGAGACGTTACTCTATCATATCTTCCAGTTTCTAAGTGCACGGGGTTAATCCGTGACATATCATCATTTTACTAAGGGACGTTACTCCGTGACATTTTATCCTTCACGCTCCTCGCAGCTATAGCCCGTCCGCGGAGCTCTCTATACTATCGCGATGTTACCGAGAGTGTAACGAAGGTTTCACGCGCTGGGAAGGAGCTTGCTCATCCTTTTACTAAGGGACGTTACTCTTTGACATCTCACCCTTTTACAAAGGGACGTTGCTCCGTGACATTTTTTACTTAGGGACGTTACTCCGTGACATTTCATCCTTTTACTAAGGGACGTTATTCTTTGACATCTCATCCTTTTGCTAAGGGACGTTACTCCGTGACATTTCATCCTTTTACTAAGGAACGTTACTCTTTGACATCTCATCCTTTTACTAAGGGACGTTACTCCGTGACATCTCATCCTTTTACTAAGGGACGTTACTCAATGACATCTCATCCTTTTACTAAGGGACGTTACTCAATGACATCTCATCCTTTTACTAAGGGACGTTACTGAATGACAGCTCTTACTACGCCTTGGCACCTTCGAGTTTGATACTATCCGGTAAAATATGTAGCACAATAGTGAGTGAGTATTGATGAGGTTGCGCTTAGGAGTAACACAGCAGTATTTGGTTTGGATACATAGAGTGCAATAAACACGATGATTCATTTCATATAAGAAAAATCATTTCAGTTCTTTCAAATGACAAACAGTGACTTTAAAGCCATATCACAGATTGACTTCGCTCAGTGCAAGTGATTAGTGTGAGTCCCGTCTCGTGTGATCGCAACCGTAAAATTCCTCATCTTGCGATCACAACTTCAGAAGATCCTCATTTCGCAATCACATGTAGATCTTCATCTTGCGACCGCATCCATAGATGGTCCTCGGCGTGTGATCACAACCACAGAAGATCCTCTTTAGGCGATCACAGCCATAGGAGATCCTCATTATGCAAAAACGCCGTTAACCAAAGAAGATCCTCATCTTATGTTAACAACGACAGAAGATCCATATCTTGTGATCACAACGACAGGAGACTGTCATTGTCTTCGTCTGCAACAGTACTCATGAGTTGGTAGGTCTTATTTCTCCGTCTCCGCCTCCACATCACGACGCTGGCAATTATCCCCACCAATACCATCACCAGTGCCACTAGGATACAGATAGCGACCGTCAGGTAGTGGAAGGGTGTGGGACAGTGACACGAAGAGTGGCCTCCCTTTCCCCCACAGTCCACGTTGCTGACAAAGGGGCCGTGGTTGTACTGCACTAGCCACATGGAGTCGATGACGCCTCCGTTGACGGCTCGCACCTGGTCCCAGTACAGGTGGGTGGAGTTGTGGACAACCAGGCGACCGTATGTGTTGTCCCCGACGATGTCGTGGCGGTAAGCGGACCAGGGCTCTGGAAACATGACAACAACCGGTTAAATCCATACAATGAGACTACATATAGAAAGAAAAATATAAGGGAAAAGTGAATTTGATGTTTTGGAGGGATATTTGTCAAAAGTCATGGGTAAAGTACAATTCATTATATATTGCTCGAATACTTCGAGAACTGGCTATGTCGAAGACGACGGATTTCAGTAAATATATAGATTATACTCTGCGTTAGTGAGCCGAAAATAGGATGAGTATAGCCTACTGGAGCTGAACTAATATCCCGCAAAATATGTCATCTGAAACAGAACGCTTCTTACCGTTCTAAAGTTATGGTAAGTAGGGTGTGACAAATTTAGCGGGATCAAGGTGTAACAGCCGGCAAGTTATGCTGTTTCAGTTGTAATTTGATATTTGTTTGCGTATTTGTTGGTTAAATTTGACTAAAAATAATTTATCACCGACTAGTTGTTTGAAATTCCAACCGCTAAAATGATATCAATTTTCAACGCATTTTCAATACGTAGTAATCTTTTCTACGCCTCGCCCTTTCCTAGTCATTTGGATTACAATCCTCGCCGTTGTCGTTCCGTTATTTGATGAAAAAGCTGGTGACAGCTTGGAGCATTTAAATGTGTTAAATCAAATACGCCCTGTAAACGACAACATGCGTAGAGCGGTAAATTTTAGCAAGAAAGTAATCTGAGCTGGTTCCCGGCTCTCTTTGTGCGTCGTTAACTTACGCAAACATGAACAAGCGCATAGAGGGCCAGGAACCATGCTGCCGTTTACAGGGCATATTTCATCAATCGACTGAGGCTCGGCAGTCAGGTGACTGTGAACGACTATATTTTTGTGAAACGTACGTACATTAGCAGCACGAACTGAAAGAAGAACACGTGCAGATGAAATATTTAAAGCGCAATTGACCAAGGTCAATGATGATGTTTATCGCTAAGGAAACTGGCATTTCTTGAAAAGCGCACTTTGCAATGTTTGTCATTACTGGAAGTAATGTTCCTTATCGGCGGACTGGTTTGTTTTCACTGTATATGTTTTGCACACATGCAGCTATCTTCGTTAATTAATCATCGCGATATTTCGTGATTCAAGTGGCGAGGACTATATTACATTTGCTAACAGAACATATCAAATATTTCGCGTAAGCAAAACTCACTGAAACTGCTTGCCATACTGTTGCTGCCTTCTTTGTTGCCGGCCGCCCCCGAGATGACGTGGACAGTGGTGGTGAGGTTGTTGTAGTCCGTCCTGACGAGGTTGCCCTTATACAGAGGGAACAGACGCTCGTAGGAGTGCTCGTGTGCCTCAATCACCAGATCAACGCCCTGGACGTGGAACAGATCCTCCAAGCTGGAAGAGAAGAAGTCGTTAGAAAACAAAATCTAAGCGTTTCCTTGCGAGGGGTAAACGGGAAACAGACTCTCGATATTGTTACAGAGGACGTTAATATAAAGTTTACCAAATGTCAACACCTCATTGAAAATGTTTTAGAAACCTTCGGGCTTTGATCAAAATAATGTTTGCTTGAAGATCCTCGAATATCTATTCCATCTCAGACAATAATCATTTACTACCTGAACTTAAAACACTGGACTTCGTAGTTATACACAGTAATATATAACAAGTAAACCACCGAGATAGGATTAAACGGATTTGTATGTGTTATCTACATAATGCCGTGTCCCAAATCAACTGAATACAGAAGTTGGTGGAGGCTTGTGGCGTCGAGAAAACCAGAGGTGAGGTGAAATCGTTCAATCTCATTAACATCAAATCTTAGTTCTCGCTACCGCTAAACAAAGACCTGAGACATCCCATTACGGGTCACGTCTTTGACCGATCAATGGCATGACCAATCAGAATGCAGCTTTCTCGTGCTTTACGGCACAAAATCAAATTGGCGACTACGCTTCGAAACATAATCTGACAAATTCTCGATTACAAATTTGAAACCTGAAAAAAACCCATTCTGGAATGGCTATTGGATTGTCTAGATTGTAAGGATTCAGTCGTAAAACCCGTAACTATCGTTCGGAATACTCAATGTTAAAGTTTTCGAGGTTGCATGATAAGAAATCACATTCCGACTGTCACATTCATGATCTGGTAAGCGACACTCTGATTGGTCGGATGAAAGGTCGTTCTGACCCCTAATGGTATGTCTTCAGATCTTTGTTTAGCGGTAGCGAGAACTAAGGTTTGATTTTAATGAGATTGTGAAATGGTTTAACGTCGAACCCTTCCTACTTCGGCAATTGTGTTTTTCAAACACTTCCAATAATGAGTACTCAGCGCTGGATGCTATTGAATCAGCAAGCAGCAAAATCCGCCTCTTTCCCTGCCCTATTCATTTCCAACTATCCCATGACAAGCATGCGCAAAGATCATTTCCGGCGACTAACTAATCTACTCCTAAAAGGCATTTACCCGTTTCTAGTATTTAGAAAAAAATGATACAAGCAACGGATTTGTATTTATACTTCCGCGCGTAGGAATACATCGTCGCCGTGACAATGGCAGAGGGCCCGTTACAATCCAACTGGGTATTAGATATGGGAAGCCGTGTAAGAAGAATTGACCCGAGTGGGATAAGGCGATACCTGTGAAAGATATACACGTCGACCTTGTTGCCATACAACTCAAAGGCTGATACATGTTTGATGTGCGTGTTGTTGTAGTTCACAGGGGTTAACTAGTGGGGCTCAGCAGTGGACCACAGGCATTCGCTTCATTAACGCTACCCAGTATTCATAGATGAGAGACCCTTTGAAATAAACAAACAACACTTCCGACTTTCACTCTACATACTATTTAGTTACAAGATGTTTACTTAAAGAAAAAATGCAATTGTGACCATGTCCTCATTTATCATTTTTTGAAGTATCTAAATGTTGGTCTAGGTTTTTTTTCTATGAAATCCTTGTGTATTCCCCGACCCAAAGGCCATATTAAGATAACTTTATGTCTATAATTCATTTGTCAATTGCTAATCTCCTATCAGCGCCAATTATCTGTTGGCCTCCATTGTTTGTTCAACCTTGTTTGTTATTACTTTTGTTGTTCTTACATGTACATATATATGCTCTCTGCCTCATGGCATTCATTCACCTGATGAAGGTGTAAGTATATACTCCGAAACATTGTGTTCCTATTAATAAATATGTTGACATCAATAAATTCTCTTCCGTGTGTGTATCACTTCTAAATGCCTTTCAAAGACCTGATGTCTATAATTGTTTTGGGATTTTTGAACAAATTATGCTGAAATATGTGGTTATTTTCATTCTCCATTGGAGCTTGAAAGGAAAGGAAATTTGATGAAACCGTACCTTCTCCGCACCCAACCACTGAAAATTCTTCCTGTGCAGTCATCGATGTTGTTATTGGAGCAGTACATTGGCCGGTGACCCATGGCAACGATCCAGGGCTGGGACCCACGGTTTTGATTGGCTTGTAGGAGGTCCTTCAGCAACCAATCATACTGCTCACACACATAGTTCTGGTCATGCGTGAAGTAGACCTCTGTGGAATAACTGAAATTAAACAAATTGTTTACGATTATTTGTGTTCGTCAACGTGTCTAGAATGGTGCCCCTTAACGTGTGTTTACCCTTCGCTACGCAAGGGAAGTAGGTATACCTATAATGACGTCCCCTACATAGTTTTTACTTGCTTCAATACGCAAGGACTGTTGTATCTTTTCAATTTTAAAGATTCTTGCGGCGGTAAAGAACATACAAACTAATCAATGATGATGTTGCAAGAAACCATCGAGCTATTTTCAAAGGCTGGAAGACCTAAAGTATCACGTGACCAAAAAACATAGACTTAAAGGTAGAAATGTAAACCATAGTGACGCTAAAAATAGCACGACAATGTCAGCCTCGTTTTGGGATTCAGAACCGCTTTGACGGAATGCTTAATGACTACCTTTATATAAGCACGACGAGGGCGTGTGAGGTGATGTAAAAATGTTTAACGTCGCACTTATACAGCGACGTGCATGCACTGGTGTGTTTTCTGGTACCAGTCCAGACTAATGCCGAGTTTATAGAACCGCCCCACTGAGATACCATGCCGCAGGAATACCCCACTCAGAGACTCCCAGAGTACACTCCCAGCCGACCAGTCCTTGTTTTAGCCCCTCTATGCTGAGCGCCAGGCAGGGCTACAACATGTACCATCTTTTAACGTCTTTAGGTGGTCATATAAGCAATAAGCACCACAAGGGACGGCCGATATGTATCTATTTACATACACAGCATGTGTCGCTGTAGGGAATTACCTGATGAAATGTACGGGGCCCACGTTGTAGCTGTACCACATGGAGTTGAGGGGGATAGGCCAGGGGGTCCCGGGGGTGCTGAATCTGGTACGGTAGTGGAGGAACTCCTCGGCTCCCGCGATCTCTGTGGATGGAAGTCACATGTTCCTTTAGAGTAATGTAACCAAGTCCTGTCTATTCATCCAAAAGCTCAACTGCATTTAGATATGTGATTTGATTTTACCTCTACATATACTCATATTGACCCCTTAAACTGAATATGCTCTTTATACGTGCTGAATTCCGCTTTTACTGTAAAATAATGAAGTTAATGGTTCCGTTTGCCTGTATCACAAAAAAAACAAGGATATCAAACCGGAGATAAAGAATCAGTGAATAAATATGTATATTAACAATTACAAATGTTCATCGTCATCATAATAATAATCATCATCATCACCACCACCACCATTGTCACTGACCATGGTTGCCTGGGGATGTCATGTAGGGAATGTTAGCTGCAATGTTTTCCACGGCTCTCATAAACTGGTCGCCAACCTGTAACGAAGGGTTCACGTGTTTACCTCACGTAGTCAGCGGATAGTATTTATATTGTACTAAATATTGACGACGACCATGAAGCCCAATATAAACATTTGATATTATTCCATGTTACAATGAGTATATAGGATGTGCTTTGTGTGTTTTAGCTATCAACAATGCCATAGTTCAACGTGCGAATACAATACTAAAATATACCAGATCGTCCTTGACCTCAACGTTTGTGCAGTCGACGTCAGTTACCGTATGGCCATCCCCATTGCAGTTGTATCTTTTACTCGACGGTGAACTTTCTAATCAGCGTCGAAGCTTGAACGTTTAATTGGTTCAAAACCGACGCAGTCTTTAATTAGACTAAACGGTCCATGATTTCTCCGGATTCATCTGAAGTGTTTGTCAGATCTTCTTGCATAGAGGTAACATATCGGAGTAAAAGATCGGATTTAAATGAGTAGGCGTATGGCAGAATGATATTCCATTCCATTATGCACGGTATCAATAAACGACGGAACAGGTCATCGACAGAGTTAGAGAATTTGGCTTTACGCTTTTAGCAATATTCCAGCAATATCACGGCGGAGGACACCAGAAATTGGAATCGAACCCGGGTCTTCAGCGTGACGAGCGAACGCTTTAACCACTTGGCTACCCGACCGCCCATCATCACCAGAGAGCATGTCATGACAGAAAGTCGTATCAGGTCATCGTCGAATGTGCACCATGACAGAAAGTCGTATCAGATCATAGTCAAATGTACACCATGACAAAAAGTCGTATCAGGTCATCGTCAAATGTGCACCATGACAGAAAATCGTATGAGGTCACCGTCAAATGTGCACCACGGCAGAAAGTCGTATCAGGTCATCGTCGAATGTACACCATGACAGAAAGTCGTATAAGGTCACCGTCAAATGTGCATCATGACAGAAAGTCGTATAAGGTCATCGTCGAATGTACACCATGACAGAAAGTCGTATCAGGTCATCGTCGAATGTACACCATGACAGAAAGTCGTATCAGGTCATCGTCGAATGTGCACCATGACAGAAAGTCGTATCAGGTCATCGTCGAATGTACACCATGACAGAAAGTCGTATGAGGTCACCGTCAAATGTGCATCATGACAGAAAGTCGTATAAGGTCATCGTCGAATGTACACCATGACAGAAAGTCGTATGAGGTCACCGTCAAATGTGCACCATGACAGAAAGTCGTATCAGGTCATCGTCGAATGTACACCATGGCAGAAAGTCGTATCAGGTCATCGTCGAATGTACACCATGACAGAAAGTCGTATCAGGTCATCGTCGAATGTACACCATGACAGAAAGTCGTATGAGGTCACCGTCAAATGTGCACCATGACAGAAAGTCGTATGAGGTCACCGTCAAATGTGCACCATGACAGAAAGTCGTATCAGGTCATCGTCGAATGTGCACCATGACAGAAAGTCGTATCAGATCATAGTCAAATGTACACCATGACAAAAAGTCGTATCAGGTCATCGTCAAATGTGCACCATGACAGAAAGTCGTATCAGGTCATCGTCGAATGTACTCCATGACAGAAAGTCGTATCAGACCATAGGCGAAGCGCACTGAACGACACTGAACGTCCACCTTAAGAATTCATGTCAAGCATGAATGACTTTCGATGACAGAACGACTTACCAGTCCACCGTTAGATTGCATGTCGTAGGCGAAGTCTCCAATGTGCCAGATGGAGTCGTAGTCCCCGCTGTCCACCTCTTGTTGAAGTCTGGAGAACGTCTCCTTGCCCTCAACGCCAAGGTCGCCGTACACCAGGAACGCCGCTCGCCGCGCCTGTAACATTGAAGAAAGAAACCATATTCATATTATTCAATTTCACAAACATTTGAGATGTTGTACACAAGGACGATTTAACACGACATAAACATTTACATCAACAGAGACAAGGAAAGTAAGAATTCTTTACATTTACAATTGGATTATTTTTTGAAAGCACCTGTTAAGGATTGTCAGCAAATGTGTTGAGCACGCTTAAGCCAATGCCTAGAACTACTAATGATATGATGAAGCGTGGCTTTTGTACAGCTAACTGCGGGTCGATTTTCACTGCTTCAGCTAGTTATGGTTGGTAACCAATTCTTTACCTAACGGAAATGTCTGACGAGAGTTATTTTCTATTTTTATAAGAAACAATGAGGAAAATACAGAAATTAGAATACTCACAGTCGTCACATCCATCGTCGTAAAGCTGAAGATACGAGATGCCGCCGTAGTCGTGCCGTCAACACTGGTCACCTTGTAGAAGTATTTCGTCTTGGCTTTCAATTTCTGTTGAAATAATGCAACATTACAGCTCCATCAGAAGTGTGAGTGAGTATTGTTTTACACCCCTTTTAGCAATATTCCAGCAATATCACGGCGGGGCACACCAGAAATGGGCTTTACACATTGTACACATTTGGGGAATCGAACCCGGGTCTTCGGAGTGACGAGCCCGTGACACCGCTGCCCCTTCCCCATCAGAAGAAGAATTTAACAAACGGCCGTGTAAGGAAAGAATACGGCGACTATAGTGATAAATACCCGAACCCATTCGCTCCCACTTCAGTCGCTGTTCTATCTCGATTGGACCGCTATTTTTAACGTCGTGTCGTTCGAATCGTGCTCATTTGGAAACAATGTTAGCGAATGGGTCCAGAGCGTTATCGAACAGAATGTAAACATAATGCACCGATAATCGAGGATGTTAATCTTTGCGTAATTTGTGTTATGCTAATTTATGGTCCATTTCACTTCAGATACAATAATACATTTCTTGTCCAAATTTCAGTCATACATCAAATATGCCAGTGTCATACCCACGGCTTGCTACAAAATGCAGGTGCGAGCAATCGACACGTGCCACTCCCAGACTTCCTCCTATGCGACTTCGTAACATCACTGAAATGATGTTCAACACTAGGTCAAACCTCAACTTATTCACGTCACTGAATAAGAATACCATTATCTTTTTAGGTCTTTCTACAGTGAACCCTCGTTAATACGAAGGCCTGGGCACTGTTGAAAATATATCTAGTTATCCGTAATTCTTTCCAAGCGGGTGCAGGTATTGGCCAAGTGTCATTAAAGCATTCTACAAATCTCATCAAAACAAATCTTTACTCAGATAAGATACTTGTCTGCGTCAACATCTGAGGACACCCCCCAGACATGTCCTGCCCGGTGAACCACTAGCAAACCACACTTTAGACCTAAACGATATATCGAGTTGATCAAGTAGTTGTTGAAAACTAATTTTACAACACTACTTAGATAATAGAACTATCATTACATACTTATGTATATAGTTTTAGCTGTAAAATATTGGTCCGTATTATTCTTGGTCCACTCCAAAATGTGTATTTCTGTTTCGATTATTTATCCAGTTATGTGCAAACCATTCAAAGTAGATCAACGAGAGCCGTCTACTCAGTTATAAGTAACGCAGTACTTGAAAACGGGTAACAAAAAGGTGTATCATTGGAATTTTAGTTCTTATTTGGACGTGAAGATCCAGGTTAAAAAAATATTTTCAAATGGTACTTATTTTACCCTGCCTGGCGGTCGGCATTAAGGAGATAATACTAGGACTAGTCCGCTCGGATGTCAGTGATGTGTCTGAGTCGGGTATGCGGCATGGTATCTCAGTGGGCTAGCACTATAAAACCGACGCACTAGTACAGGCAGCCACACGCACGCACGCACGCACGCACGCACGCACGCATGCGCACACGCACACACACGTGTATGCACGTCGATATATAAGTGCAATAATCTTGAAAACAAGGTTAACCCCCATTTCACCCCGTTCAATCTAGAGACAGGATTACGAATATGTCAAGGACGTGTTATCGTGGTGATGAGTACATTGCCAACATGTCCTACCTTCAGCTGTGCTCTGTGCATGTACTGTCGGGCATTCCAGCTTTCAAGTGTTAAACGGGTCGCAGAACCGTTCTGTTGTTCTGTAAGCTGCTCCTTATCCTCGCCATATTGGACAACACCCTTAACGTCTTCCAACGTTGACCACAACACCACCATCTGGTCGGGGGTGTCGCCATAGCTGATGTGCACTTGTTCCGGTCGTTCCAAACACGACACTGTAAGGAGTTCAATGGTATTACTGATTTGTGCCTGGGAAGATCGTTCCTAGTACAACACTGTAAGGAGTTCAATGGTATTACTGATTTGTGACTGGGAAGATCGTTCCTAGTACAACACTGTAAGGAGTTCAATGGTATTACTGATTTGTGCCTGGGAAGATCGTTCCTAGTCCAACACTGTAAGGAGTTCAATGGTATTACTGATTTGTGCCTGGGAAGATCGTTCCTAGTCCAACACTGTAAGGAGTTCAATGGTATTACTGATTTGTGCCTGGGAAGATCGTTCCTAGTACAACACTGTAAGGTGTCTACAAAGATCACTCGTATCACTGTGTTATGTTAAGGTTGTCACACTTAGTCGAACTAGCGATGCATTCGACCGATGACATGTTAAACTATGGATACTTTCGGCAAACGTGAAACAAAGTATGATTCGTAAGTATACGTATAATAGCCACCTCCATTGTAAATACTTTACCATTCAGTTTAAAAAATATAATACCAAGTTAACGTGGATACTTGACTATATTCAGAGATGTTCCATGTAAACAACCCTAACGTCTAGCAAATACTGTATTTTCGAGTGAGTCTGGAAATTACCCTTGAATAGTGTTATTGTTTTTATAATTATTTATATTTTTTAATTATTTTTATTTTTTTTATTTTTTTTATTATTATTATTTTTATTTTTTTATTGGGGTACATTTATTAGAGTGTATTTTGGGTATAGGCTTTCTATCACAACAGAATGAAGAAATATTACTCTGTAAAAACAAGAGGAAATATTCTTAGTTTGTGGCTAAGGGTTCTCAGGATACCATCCTACTTAAAACAACCATTAATAATGTTTTGACTATCGTGACTCTGTTATAGTTATATGAATGTAGACTTAGAGCGTGCCAGATTCGAGCAAATTGGCAGTCCACGTTTGTGTCTGCTTACTTATAGGATGCAATTGAGCGATACCCATAGACTTGAAGACCTAAAGTAACACGTGATCTAAATACGTCACAGTGAAATTTACTTTCAGTACATTACCCTGGTTAACTACCATTTAGGACTTTTGAAGAAGAAAAACGTTACGAAAGAGCGCACGATAACGTGAGTCACTTGCTATGATGGAGATCAGTCTATCAACAACCCTGGCACAGTGTCCGAGTTTTATACTTTGCACTGACCACGTCTAGACCAAGCATGAAATGGACACACGGCCGTAAATCACAGCCCCCAATTAGACAACGTTATTACTTGAGCTGCGAGTACGATCTCTGAGCAACAGTTATATATTGTCATACATTTTTATTTCATTTTATATTTGTCAACTGGAAGAAAACCACGGTTTTACGTCTACATAAACTACTTAGTATTGTAGTCGTGCCTATATGTGAACAATACATATTACATTTATATATCGTGCCTATATGTGAACAATACATATTACATTTATATATTGCTGGAATATTGCTAAAAGCGGCTTAAAATCCAACTCACCCACTCACTATTGATACGCACTTCAGATATCATAAAGACATTTCAACAACACTTTGGAATTCGTTGTTACCATGTTTTACTGGAACAATATAGCTTTTATTATAATTTGTCCTGAAAAAGGTCCCCACCCCGAATCACCACCCCAGCCCCGTCCATCTTATTGAAATTATTTTCATTTGAATCTGATATAGATCTTTTTTCTTTTTTCATTAATATTTCTTTTACAGCTCACAAAATATTTCAAATTCACAATATTAAATATCTTCTATTATAAGTTTATTACAAGTTGATTACCCATAGTTGATTTGAATGAGCCGATCCGGTTGTCCAAGTATGTTGATTTCAGTCAAGTCAACAATGGCAACGTCGGTCCCTGGCAGCTCATTGGAGTAGCTCATGTGTGAAAGCTTTACCTTCTTGATATATTAATTGTGTAAACATCTGGGAGTTAGCTTAATTTAGCGTTTATACGCCATGTCCAGTGGTATCTATGGAAGCCTCGGCGCTTGGGTTAACAGCTAGGCACGGTTGTCAAGCTGAGTAATATACATCCAGTCCGCGCCATGCTGCCTTTATAAATATTAACAATATAGAAAGGCTTCTATAGAAGTCTCTGTATACCTCTTAGTGCTGATACACAGTTTGGCGAAATGAGTTGTCATTTGCACCGAAACGTGTCTAAAAAAGGTGTTTTCAGCCATACAATTTTCTTCACCGCAATGGCATAGGCTAATGCGTTGGTGGGTATGTGTTTTTGTGTGTTTGTGTGTGTTGGCTGGGGCACTTGAGAATATTATTGAGTTATTAAATAGTCTTCAATGGTTTGTTTGCCTCGCCCTACCACACATGCTGGTAGATAATACGCTGAGTTCATTACACGTCATCATTCTAAGCCTTGCGTCTATCACAAGTTTGAAAGTCGTGACAAGGCAGTCACGACAGACTTAGAGCTAAGATCGCTTTGTGATCGCCCAGCAAGTCATGGAAAGGATTATAGGTTAGTTGTGCTTAGGTACTCGTAATCAAAATATTTTTTTCAGTACCGGGTGGTCGGGTAGCCTAGGGGTTAAAGCGTTCACTCGTCACGCCGAAGACACGGGTAAATGTGTGAAGCCCATTTCTGGTGTCCTCCGCCGTGATATTGCTGGAATATTGCTAAAAGCGGCGTACTCACTCACTATTCAGTACCACTTGGTTCTCTGGTCAACGTGTTTTAATCATATATAATATACATGTGGAGTTTTGCCATCAAAGACATCTAGATTGAGATTTTCAGCTGAAATTAAACTGAGTGAACCGGTTGCGTTAATGTTCAACCAGGCCTGAAAATAATGGACCAGAAAACCAGTGACTGACATCATGAGCAATAATCCACATCGGATCACGTATCTGTCTATTTAGTTGAGTACACTCCCTTCCATTATGCACTGAATGATTAGTGTTTGTTTGTTTGTTTAACGCCGCACTCAGCACTATTCCAGCCATATGACGGCGGTCTGTAAATAATCGAGTCTGGACCAGACGATCCAATGATTGATTAGTGATGGAGATTAGTTCTTGGATTAGATGCTACAGTAGAATGAGAATATATGCATCGTTATGAATTTTATGAATTTTATGAATTTTATCAATAGAGTGTTAACGTGACAGCTGGAATGTGTCCTTTTGCGAAATTACTTACTGATTCCACGTGATTTATATTCCAGGGGTCAGGGGTCAATTGTACTACACGTCACACCTACACACACCCTGTTATTACCGAGACAGAAACATGGCACGGAGACGGTGTAAGCGCCAGGTAATATATTCTTCGACTAAGCGTCATTAATCTGGACCACGTCCACGGAAGTCGAATAATTGATTAAGGCGGAATATGGCGAACTGTATAGTATAGTCAAAATTGACATGCATTCACGTTATTTTCTAGCCAGTATGCATATGGTTAGGAAATGGTATGAAATATCAAAGCGTTATCAGAATTAGGAATAAGATTCATGGTAAAGGATGGAAACATCAACAATTGATCTCGTTAATCGGTATTGATGCTGCGTATGTGTTTCCATACAACTTATATATAAATGAAGGATTACTTAGGGTCAGTTCTCTAGGCGTGAGGACCCTATTAGGACTGCGACATGGACAAGCGTGACGGAATAATCAACAAAAAATGTTATATTAAAGAGCAAATATTGAGATACCATCTTCCTTACTAACACCAAATATTCTTTATTCTACAGCCATTCCTAAAGGCGACAAACAATTGATATAAAAAATCTTGTAAAGATATGTAAGCAAAAATGTATTGACATTGATAACCAAATATTGCTTGCTAACTTGCAGTCTTATTTATTCTTGACTTTAACGTAAAATCGTATTATTTTTCTCGAAGCCATCTTCCGTGCTCATGTCACTGTATTTTATTAGGAAAGGGTAGAAATTGGCCCATTCCACGCCACAAACGATTATGTCAATTCTGTATTGTCACTATAGTTTAATCTGGATATTTCATCTTGAGTGTTCTTGGTGAAGAGTTAGTGAGTGAGTGAGTGAGTGAGTTGGGTTTAACGCCGCTTTTAACATTATTCCAGTTATGTCACGGCGTGTCAGCTTAATGTGGGAGGAAAGCCCCAAGTGATGCAGGTCTCAGACGTTTACAACTTCGTTGAAGCCCACGAGCACGGGTAAGGTGCTGACAAACCTAGAAACATAATCGGGGCGAGCCGGGATTCGAACCCACAATCATAGGTTTCTGGCGTGCCCAAGGGAAGCAACTCTGCACAGCGAATCGCGGCGCCTAAGACGACTGGGCCACCCGAGCCCCCTCTTTGTGAAGAAGCTTAAGAGGAAACATACGATTAAGTTATTATTATAATTATTCATCATTTGATAAAGGTCCGAAAAGATAGCGCGTGCTTTACGTGACAAGGGAATCATTTGACTTCATTTAAATAAAAAGAAGCACATATTATTCCAGCGTCAAAGTTGTGTCAGATAAATTGACACATTTTATGTGCGACACCCAGCCATTTGGACACATGCTACGCACAAAGCATAATAAACAGAGGGAACATGATTGATGAAGAGAGGACTCACTGAACTGAATGTTAATTACAATATACATGTACATGTACAATGTCTATGGTACACTATTTAGTTGATTGGTAAGTCGCGTTTCTTATCCTAACATTAATAAACGCGAGACGACTATGAGGCTCATGAACACATTACATATTAATTATATATAAGCCTACACAACTAGTTTTAACATGTATGAACAATATGCCTACAATATGCACACGTGTTAAAAGGTTCTACATATATGTAAGAAAATTAGGACTATTGAAATTAATATTTAAAAATTAATTTAACAGAGGTCATTGTAATATACATTTTAACTTGTCACAAGGTAAAATATTTAAGAATATCATTTAAGGCAGCGGTGTTACACCTAAAGTGAGGTCTTACTAAAAGCAATTAATCAAAATGTAAAACTTTTTTAAAGTATATTTGCAGATACGATTTAATGGGGACTCAGCTTCAGCAGGAAGCCTTTTGCATCCCTGTGTCATTCATGTCCCCCATCCTCTTGTGCACTATACATATTCCATGTTTTAACAAAAATGTCTAAATTTATTGCAATTGTACATCGTACCTTTCGAACTAACGGTAAATGTAACTTTCGTTCAAGTTATTCATTGCTTTGTATTTTTTATAAATATATGCTATTGTTTTGATTTGAGAATAAAACGAACTGCAAAAAGGGTAACTACATTTTAATTTGGTTTTACAAGTTCGCCCCAGGGCACGCTGATTGGCCTAACACATTCCGATTTGAATAGAAAATAGTACAGGTAAATCGTATTAATCACCTGTGGGGCCGCCTGATTGATGTTCTGTGCCCCCAGATTGAGGTGTGGGTGGGACACGGTCCTGCTGAATCGCACCCTAATGATGGTCACGCAATATGAAAGTAATTAGAGTCTCTTCAATAGTTAAACAGTCTGCAGGTGTGGTGAGAGACTATCGAAGGTCAGTGCGTTATCGACCTGTGTCGCCAAGCAGGAAGAAGACCACGCGGATTAGTAACGTAATGACATGCTTGAGTAAACAAGGAAGGGAGGCCGAATGTACCGTCCTTTTCGAAAAAATGTCCATGTACGCGTTTCAATGCAATACTACTGGACTCCAATTTATCTATTAGAAACATCATAAATCTCATCATTATGATTATTGACATCTTGTTATTTTTATCAATCATCTTTATCATCATGAATATGTAATGATCATTGCTATTAGTAACATATATTCTCTCAAATAAAGATATAAATACTGTTGAATAACAAAATATATTCTGTTGAATAATAAAATATATTCTGTAAGGGAGCCGTACGGGTTGTTAGAGTTGAGGCTATACGGGATGGAATGTAAAGGAGTGTTTGTTTTATTTAATATAAAATAATATTACTGCCTGTTTGTTTTATTTAATATAAAATAATAGTATGGTCTAATATTACTGTCATGCTAAATAATGTTAGCATCATCGTAATCACTATTGTTCTTGGTGTTATTATGACTACAATGGTAACATGACGGTATGATATTAAAATGATCATGTGTCAGTTTTAGCATGGTAGATGTGCCAAGGTAATTGACCAATTGTCTCGGTAACCCGCAACAAGGCGTATCAGATACCACAAGCAATGTGGGTATGTGCTTTCTGTACTTTACAGTCGTGTTATTTTGCTTGTATTACTCACTGAATGTATATATGTAAGTTCATGTACTACCGTTGGTGTTTTTTCGAGTAATAAGTTTAATTGAATTGTAAGTATGGCCTGTTATCTGGGCAGCAGAACATACACAGATGACTAAGGATACCCTGAGGACCAAAGTACGTCGTCCCAGTCATGTTGTCAATACGCTATACAAACACTAGATCGTGCACTTCAAAGTGACATTTATAGGTTCAAACGGCCTGCACGTATTAGCTTACTTTCAGTGTTCAAGTCACAGCTTCGAGTTTCCAACCCCCTGCTAATAACTTACAACAGGTATATACGTTTCCGTCAGGAATTATATAATCCCATGACCTTTGTCCGTTGTGACGTATATAGGACCATGAGAACTACGACTAATCCATACGGAAGCGGTGTCTTCCAGACCACTTCCGTAACACTGTTAATATATAAAACAAATGAGAGATTGTTGTCAACTCTAAATATGAATCCTATGAACAAAGTTTCTAGGATTTTATAATAATCCATACGGAAGCGGTATTGTCCAGACCATTTCCCTAACACTGTTAAAAATTCGAGAGACTATTAACTCTTAATATCAATCCGATTAAGAAGATTGTATATTAAGTTTATAACACGCGTTGTCAAGTGATACACGCGTTGAAAGTGTATACATTCCCAGCGAAAACATCCCGAACTTACACTTGTATACGGACTAAGGTCTTCGAACGAAACAATAGTCTTTGATTTGGACGATCAATATTTTATGTTGAGTGTGTGCGTCTTTGCGCGTAGCGTACAGGTGATTCAAGTTTGTCAGTCTGTGATAAATATACAAGGGTAATATCTTCCCTTTTACAGTTCTGAAGAAGATTTAATAATGTTTCGTTCATCACTGATTTTCAGTGATACATTCATTTAATTTTCACCAATATTTGTACTTTTAAGGTTCTGTGGAATTTGTTTCAGCAGGTAATTGTGACTGATTATTCACTGACGATTAATATTTCGTTAAGTGAGTTATATTCCAAGAGCGTCATCATTAAAGAAACACATTAGGCACGTTTAACTACATGTACATGTGTTAGAATTTTGTATCTCACCTGTTGTCAAAACAAACATCACTCCTATTGTGTACATCTTCAGTTGATGCATCTTTCCTCCCATTCCTGTAAACTCCTGTATCCTCAGCACAGTTGACCAGCACAATATACACAACACTAACACCTGCTTTCAAATGGTCGTGTCAATTCATGTCAAGCGTTCTGTGTCCAAACGTGCATGTTATGAAAATAAGCGTTCAATGAAACACACTTGAGTCGAGTTGAGGCATATACAAGGTCTATTCACTGGTCCCACGTGAGGCTGTCATTTTCTGTTTCTCTCACTTCCGATTGGTCGTGCAGTGACCTCGGCGCAAGCTATTGGTCAAAATCAATTGTCCCACCACGCATGAGCGACCGTGTGTCTTAGCAACAACATCTGTAAGCATAGGTCCACCACCTGACGTTACAGCCTAGCATTATGCGAAATATGTACATTAGTGATAGCACATGGGTCGGAAAGTGTGGTTGTGTCCTAGTCCCATGGGGGTATCACACAAGCCTGCGTCAGGTTCCAGACGGTATAAATACCTTCCGTTAGGTCAACTTATATTGAAAATCTCCTCGTCAATTTTCAAATGTTATTTTTGTAGATTACTCCAGTAAGTTACGTCAGGTGTATACCGTACAAACACATAAAATGATATTATTTGACGAGTGTCCTCAATAGTCAAATGGCATTGAATGTTGTAAATGGTTAATTATAGTAGATATCTAATGTTTTTCATTTTAATTTGATCAGTACAGCAGCTTGTTATTTGAGGCACATGTTCTTATATTAACTTGGTGTTGACTATTTCTTATTAAAATACTTCTATTGCCTGGTCATAGCAACTATACTAGATAATATTCCAGGCCAAACTGCAAATATGGGGGGAAAAAGAAAGTATATCGAGTTTGTTTTTATGTTATTGAAAATTGAAAGAACTGTCTTTAAATTTCATGATGTCTATTTAACCATCACTCATTCATGCAACGGTTTGTTAAAAGCCATTTGTGGCTAGTTAATTGTATGTAAAAATAAACTGGTTAAAAAAGACAAGGGTAATAAATAAGTCTGCAACATGACCCCTGCCATGTTTGAAATTTTGTAAATTTATGCCGAAAATGCAAAAATATATTTTCAAAGGTAAGATTCTAAGATTCCCATAAGCAGTTGTGTATTATGCGAATTTATGTTTTTTTAATTTTGAAAAGTTTTAAATCAAATTATATCGAAAAAATAAAATCATCTGAAAGTATTATTTGAGTGCTGACTAAGCGACAGTACAATTATTTTTTTAATCCAATATCGCTAACTTAAGATATTTTCAATTGATAACCAAGATTGATCAAATCAATTGAGAGGATAGTTTATTGTGCTACTCAGTGTGTTATGCCTGAACATGTTAAGACCCTGTATAACGATCCTTATCAGATAAGTAACGAGTTAATTAATTGGACCAAAAAAATGCTCTTGGTTAAGGTTACTAGTAGCATCATAAGCTCAGTAGCATTTATTAATACTACTGAGTCAACTGCAAAAGAAATGTTTAGGCCAAACTGTGTTGCAAAACGAACATGTTCTTAAATATATTGCTTTACTTACAAGCAGCAGAATCTCTGCACGTGGACATAGTAGACGTAGTTTAAAATCGACCTATCGATTTTATTTTTTTAACAAAAGCAGTAGTAGCGCTATCACTATTGGTCCATCACTTGGTTGTCTGGTTTCTTTATAGGCTGCCGTCTCAAAGCAGGGATACTGCTGTTAGACAGCAGATGGACATTTACATGTTTATGCAAAGTGTGTGTGTGTGGCGCTAACGGCGGGGCAGGAAATACTTACCATGTTCGCGGGCTCCCGGTGTCATCACTGATTTTCAGTTATCCCTTCATATGGTGTCTACCGCGATTTTGGCTTTTGTGCTCAATGGAATCTGTTTCGGCGGATAGTCGTGACTGTTTATACTCTGGCCAGGACGTTTTTGTATTGTTCTTCAAATAAGAAAACACGACTTCGTTTAAGGGAGTCCAGTCTCGGGGAAAATAGGCAGTCCTAGAAAAGTTGATTGATGTCCCTCTCCACACCAGGCTGTCTGCCTGCCTGGTAATCTTTTACTGGCGTGCATCAGTAATGATTACTACAAGTACACGGGGACAATGTCCCTGTTTCACCCAGCTTTTAATGCAGAACTTGGCAAAACATGGGCGAGTGAGTGTGTGAGGTTTGTTGGACGCCGCTTTGAACACTGTTCCAGTTATAATACGGCGTGTCAGCTTGATATGGGAGGAAAATCTGAAGTGATGCAGGTCTCAGACGTTTACCACTTTGGTGAAACCCTCAAGCACGGGTATGTTGGTGACAAACCTAGAAACATAATCGGAGCGAACCGGTATTCAAACCCACGATCATAGTTTTCTGGCGTGCCCAAGGGACGCAACTCTGTTTAGCAAATTGCGACTGGGCCACCCGTGCCCCTGGCACAACATGGGCGCCATGCGTCTCGTCTGCTGCCTACAACCGAACAGAAATGAAGAGAAATATACGTCCGTGTGTTTGAATATATCCAATTAGGGCATCCTAACATTTCGGAGGTGGTACGAGAGAGAAATCCGTGACGGAAGTGAAGCTTGCTCACATGCCTGAACGGACCCTACACAGCTCCTCTCAGGAAATGCAGACACGTCAACATCGATACAAGATTCTGGAAGGAAGATCTTATGAATCATCTCACGTCGGCAATGAATTACACAGGCCGTATATCTGAGTTGATACATCTCGCGTAAATGTACTGAAACATGTTGTGTTGCTGTGTACAAAATGAGATCAAAATTACCGTATTCGTAATTAGCGCCCCGATCTAATAAGCGTCAACGTCGATATTTGCTAACATATTGGCTAGTGAACAATCCCAATTAGCACCCCTTCCGATTGATCAATGTACACAAGATACATTTATTCGTGTATAATACGCACTCGTGTGTTATATGCACCCTTAATTACGGGCAATTAAATTCTGGAAAATATATATGTCGTGTATGATACGCACATACTTTTCTTTTGTATCATTTCAGGCTGTCAGCATAAACTACGAAATTTGCAATCTTTTAACTCTGTTTTTTCTCTCACCAAAATTATATTCTAATATGAGCCCCCTATTTCTAATTTTGAGAGCGCCCCGGACGCTTATTACGTCAAATACGGTAAATCAAAATGAAACGACGTTGTTTATTCATATACGAGTTAGAACAGGTCTTCAGCACCCCATGCCTGTCTTAAGAGGCGACTAACGGGGTCGGGTGGTCAGGCTCGCTGACCTGGTTGATGCATGTCATCGTATCCCAATTGCGTGGATCGATGCTCATGATGTCAGTAACTAGTCCACACTCGATAATTTACAGACCGCTGGATGATTGCAATTACAAACAATTACATATAATTTTATATTATATTATTGAACAAAATCTAATAAAGTGACATTGAGATCATAACCGATATCATCTGTTGATATCATACGTTGATAAATATATACAAGTTATACATGCCTGCATAAACGGTGTCCGTACAGTGGAAGTTGGTTTTACGACAACCCGGTACCTGGACATCCAATTATCAGCTTCACTCAACCACAGCAGCTAATACTACTACTAATAATAATATTAATAACCTCGCTCTTCATTCAATCGCTTATATTTACCAATTATGATGGGAGGGCGTGGTTTGATTATTGTTGAGGCTCTTCATGATAGAATTGTTATGTGCACTTTTGCACACATTTATTTGCCTGATGATCCTCTTGTGAAGCATGTCAAGACGAAAACAAGGCATTCAACAGTTTTCAAAAACGATCCAAGGATGTGGGATATAATCTCAATGTCGGTGTTGATATTGTTGATGGTTCTGTAATGCTGGAGGGTACAGAAATGAGTGTCAACCAAGCGAATTGCCTTATCAAATCGGCCCAGACTCAGTTTTTAAAGGAGAGGCATTCTGAACGACCACTGCATAGAGTTTATGTGCAGTGTGTTGAGAAGGTCAGCAACCCTGTAGAGTCCTTCGCTTGGATGAAGTCGTCTGGCCTGATACGTGAACCAGAAGGCATTTTGCTTGCTGTTTAGGACCAATCTGTCGGTAATGACAAGACTGATGTTGTTATGTTTGCACTGACAACTGTCGGTAACGACAAGACTGATGATATTATGTTTGCACTGACAACTGTCGGTAATGACAAGACTGATGTTGTTATGTTTGCACTGACAACTGTCGGTAACGACAAGCTGATGTTGTTATGTTTGCACTAACAACTATCGGTAATGACAAGACTGATGTTGTTATGTTTGCACTGACAACTGTCGGTAACGACAAGCTGATGTTGTTATGTTTGCACTAACAACTATCGGTAATGACAAGACTGGTGTTGTTATGTTTGCACTGACAACTGTCGGTAATGACAAGACTGATGTTGTTATATTTGGATTGACAACTGTCGGTTATGACAAGACTGATGTTGTTATATTTGCACTGACAACTATCGGTAATGACAAGACTGATGTTGTTATGTTTGCACTGACAACTGTTGGTAATAACAAGACTGATGTTGTTATATTTGCACTGACAACACTATCGGTAATGACAAGACTGATGTTGTTATGTTTGCACTAACAACTATCGGTAATGACAAGACTGATGTTGTTATGTTTGCACTGACAACTGTTGGTGATGACAAGACTGATGTTGTTATGTTTGCACTGACAACTGTTGGTGATGACAAGACTGATGTTGTTATGTTTGCACTGACAACTGTCAGTTATGACGAGACTGATGTTGTTATGTTTGCACTGACAACTATCGGCAATGACAAGACTGATGTTGTTATATTTGCACTGACAACTGTCGGTAACGACAAGCTGATGTTGTTATGTTTGCACTAACAACTATCGGTAATGACAAGACTGGTGTTGTTATGTTTGCACTGACAACTGTCGGTAACGATAAGACTGATGTTGTTATGTTTGCACTAACAACTATCGGTAATGACAAGACTGATGTTATGTTTGCACTGACAACTGTCGGTAATGACAAGACTGATGTTGTTATATTTGGATTGACAACTGTCGGTTATGACAAGACTGATGTTGTTATATTTGCACTGACAACTATCGGTAATGACAAGACTGATGTTGTTATGTTTGCACTGACAACTGTTGGTAATAACAAGACTGATGTTGTTATATTTGCACTGACAACACTATCGGTAATGACAAGACTGATGTTGTTATGTTTGCACTAACAACTATCGGTAATGACAAGACTGATGTTGTTATGTTTGCACTGACAACTGTTGGTGATGACAAGACTGATGTTGTTATGTTTGCACTGACAACTGTTGGTGATGACAAGACTGATGTTGATATTTTTGCACTGACAACTATCAGTAATAACAAGACTGATGTTGTTATATTTGCACTGACAACACTATCGGTAATGACAAGACTGATGTTGTTATGTTTGCACTAACAACTATCGGCAATGACAAGACTGAT